AACCAATTTCGGAACCTAATCAGGCACAATATGCCTGCTTTTCATGGAGCAGGCACAAAAACTGACTATATCATTGGCCACAAAGAAAACCTCAATGGATTCCAAAGAACAATTTTAAAAAAAGCAGGATATTCTGAATATTTTGCAGTGAAAGTAGACATTAATAACAAAAATTTGTAAAGACCTTTAAAGCTTGAAAAAATTTAAAGGCATGTTAATAAATACTTCTTGGATCAAAGGGAAATACAAAGTGAGATTACAGAATTTCTTAGGAATAATAATGAAAACTCAACATATTAGTTGACAAAGAAAAGTTTATAGCAGGGGTCCCCGACCTCCCTCCTTCTGGTCCAGTCTGAAGACACCGCTTGCATTACTGCCTGAGTTCCGCCCCTATCTCCCCGCCTGTCCCCTCACACTCCCGTGGGAAAATTATCTTCCATGAAACTGGTCCCTGGTGCCAAGAAGGTTGGGGACCACTGGGTTATAGTGCTAAATTGGTTTAAAGTAAAAATAAATACACCCAACTCACACAACTACAAAAAGACAATTATGTAAGACACACAGAGACACACACGCACACTGGAAAAGAAGAATTAATGAAAATAAAACAGTATTTCATGAGTTATAAAACAAACTACAGGATAACTAACAAAACTAATAGCTGGTTCTCTTTAAAAAGGAAATGTTTTTTAATTAACCCAATAACTAACCTCTTCAAGGAAAAACAAAGGAGGAAACACAAGTACAAAAAGCTGGAAATGATGATGGGAAAAGACCCACCAAAATGAAGGAAATTACAAAACATTCCTCTGTACAGCTTTCTACAAATAACTTGGGAAACATAGATAAAATGAGGCATTTTTAAGAAAAATAGAACTTACCAAAATTGGCCTCAAGAGATAAGTATAAAAAGCTCAATTTCCATAGAGGAAATAGAAAAAATTGTTTAAGGAGCCCCATGTGGAAAAAGCATGGACCATACCCAGGTGTTTCCACAGCAGAATTCTCCCAAACTTCTCTTCTCTGAGCCAAGAAAAAGAAGAAAAATGGGCATGTTGGTTTTGTAGAGTATAACATTGATCACCCTGGCCGATAATATACTGAAAATAATTACAGAGTATGAATGCAAAAATAATAAATTAATCACTAGCAAACCAACTCCAAAGCACATTCCTATCTGCATATCATGACCAAAGAAGTTTATTTTACAAAAGCAAGGATTGTTCTCCATTAGGAAGTCCATTGATACAATCAATCATGTTTTTAGAGTTAAGGAGGAAGATCACGTGAGCATCTTATAGAGATAGAGAAAAGGAATTTGAAAAAAAATCCAACATCCATTCATGTTAAAAACACATCACGTTGATAAAAACACAAAATTAAATAGACAAAAACCTGTAAAGAACTATCCAAAATATATGATAAAACTGCAAAGCAGTTTCACTTGTGTGATAACATTATACTGGTGACATTGTGGGGAAACTGTTGCATGCATTGCTAGTGACAATGCAAAGTGGCCCACCCCTAGGAGGGAAAGGTGGTGACACCTGGCTGAATGCCACACGCATATCCCCTCTGACCATGGGTCCCCACAACAAGGCATCTATCCACCAGAAACCCTGGTGAAACCATGAGGAGATGTCTGCACAGGCTTTGCATTGCTGAAATATTTTTAATAGCAGAAAACCAGGAGATAGCAGAGAGGGGATGGAATAAATTGTCACCTCCACTAATGCAGAGTGCAAAGGTAAAGACAAATAGAGACTGTACATATCGCTCTGGGGACATGGGAGCAGGTCAATGGAATCTGCGTGTGGGATGAATATGAATTTGGGGGAACCAGAGGGCAGATGGTAGTGGTTGAATGATGACCATCCAAAAATATGCCCATCGGGAATGTGTGGATGTGACCTTATTTGGAAAAGTGACTTTGCAGAGGTCATCGAAGATTTGGAGATGAGATCATCTTGGATTAACTAGTGGGTCCTAAATCCAAGGACTTGTGTTCTCATGATACACAGAAGAGGAAAAGGGGGAGATAAGGAGGCGAGGGTGGTGTGGAAATGGGGCAAAGGTTGAGTGATGGTTCAACAAGCAACAGATCTCCAAGGACAAGGTGGTGGGGGCAGCCCCGCCTGGAAGAGGCAGAAAGGAGCCTCACCCAGAGCCTTCGGGCAAGTCCTACCAATGCCTTGATTTCAGACTGCTGGGCTTTAGAACTGTTGACAATAAATTTCTATTGTTTTAAGCCACTGAGTTTGTGGTAAATTATCAGAGCAGCCAATACAGATGTTGGTGGGTTGTTGAGATAGATCTTTAAGTGACAAAAGCCAGATGGAGAAAAGTCTGTTTGGTGTGATACCATTTATTAGGGGGGAGTGGATAGAAACATAGATGTGTGTATATTCATGTATGTGTGTTCACATGCATATGTGTGCCCATTTTGTGTACATGGTTGTACATGTATGTATATAGTTATATATGTGCGTATATGAAAAATAATAATGCAAAGAAAAACAATACTTCTTAAATGATCTCCTGTAAGGACAGGGAAGCCCCATTGGTATACTTTGTTTTGTAGGTTTCCCTTTGCAATCATATCAATATTTTACATAATTGTAAAATTGTATTTTTTAAAGATTTTATTTATTTATTTTTAGAGAGGGTGTGGGAGGGAGAAAGAGAGAGTAAGAGAGAGACATCAGTGTGTGGTTGCCTCTTGCGTGGCCCCCACTGGGGACCTGACCCACAACCAAGGTATGTGCCCTAGCTGGGAATCAAACCTGTGACCCTTTGGTTTGCAGCCTGCACTCAATCCACTGAGCCACACCAGCCAGGGCCATCATTATAAAATTTTAAATCCAAAATAAAATGAAATATGTATGTGTCTGACTGATAGCTGAACCACACAGAAAAGAAATATTCCAAGTTACTTTAAAACTCAGTAATCTGATGACATATTCCTAGTGAGATATGCCTTAGGGTCAAAAATAACTGCAAGACAAATGTCAGTTTTCAGTAACTATGTATATCAGTCAGTGGTCATACTGGTACCGTGGTTCTGACATGATTGTGTGTCTGCATGATATGGGATAAAGCAAAGGAGTAATTATGTGAGATTCTCTATTATCCCTTTTTTTTTTAATTCTACCTTGAAAAAAAAATATTGTCTACTGAAAAGACCTAAAAACAATGACCAACCCAGTAGCAGTGAGCACCCCACCACTGAACAACCAAGTGTCACTGGAGGTGATGATTTCCAGGTCAGAATCTTCTACCTGGTCATGCGGCGTAGCAACAAAGCCATCTGAGGCTCCTGGGCCCATAACATAAGGGCCCACGAGCCCACCAGGAGAGGTTCCACAGCCAAAGACAGGGAAATTTGAGCATGATTAAGGATAACAACTCCAGTGGATTGAAGCACGCCAAATATATTGTAATTCATGTGTTAATGGTATTTTTTTAATCCCCCAAACCAAAAACAAATTGGTCATCACCGTACACTATGGAAACAATCCATTGTTTTTGAAGCTGGTCAATAAAGACAAGAAGCAAGTATTTATCTTGCTTCTCCCATACAAACTATCACTGGGTAACCAAATAGATGAGGAACTTTCTCTTTACGAATGTATATCAAAGTAAATATTAAGTTTTGGAAAAAATGATAGAATTAGAACTATCCTCATTTTGCAACCCTTAGTGAATTAATGGATCTAGGTACTGATCGATGTTGCAAACATTATAAAGCCACCTGACGATGAGCATATGAATGTCTTGCCGCCCATTTCCCCCAAAAGAAAGGGAAAATGTGAGCTGGAAAATGGACCAAGCTTCCAGATTCAACCGCTTTTTTCCAGTATTTATTTATATGAAATAAAGTTCAGAAGAACAGGAATATAATCAGCAAAGTCCAGAACGTGGGGACTAAGGACATGTACCCTCGTTTCTTTGACAAATGACATGGGTATGTGAGGGGAGGGGGACTGATCCCTTAGATTAAAAATAGACACAACCATGATGACACACCATTTCGCACCTACTAGCATGGCTATGATTTAAAACGACATTACAAGTGTTGACCAAAATGTGGAGACATTGGAACCTTCAAACACGGCTGATGGGAATGTAAAATGGTGTAGCCGCCTTGCTGGCACTTCCTCACACAGCTCAACATAGAGTTATCATATGACCCAGCAATTCCACTTTTAGTTTGAGACCCAAGAAAAATGAAAACATCTGTCCGCACCAAAACTTGAACACGAACGATCACAGCAGCATTATTCATAGTAGCTAAAAATATCCATTTGGTAGATGGAGAAACAAAATGTGGCTCCTCCATACAATGCAATATTATTCAGCAATAAAAATGAATGAAGTTCTGAGTGAAAGAAGCCAGACACACACGGCCACATGTTGCAGGACTGCATTGGTTTGAAATGTCCTGAACATGCAAATCCAGAGACAGAAAGCGGACTGGCAGTGGGTACAGGGTTTTTGGGGGGAATGATGAAAAAGTTTTAAAATGGATTATAGTGATATTGGCACAGCTCTGAATATACTAAACACTGCTGAATTATATGCTAAATTTTTAAGAAGATTTTATTTATTTACTTTTAGACAGGGGAAGGAAGGGAGATAGAGAAGGAAAGAAACGTCCATGTGTGGTGGTCTCTTGTGCGTCTCCCACCAGGGACCTGGCCCACAACCCAGGCGTGTGCCCTGACTGGGAATCAAACTGGTGACCCTTTGGTTTGCAGGCCTGTGCTCAATCCACTGAGTCACACCAGGCAGGGTGACCCTTTCTTTTTTAAGGAGGCAGGTGGAGGTGTAGACAAAACATCACCCACAAGTGGTCCCTGTTGAAGCAGGGGACGGCTGCATGTGTGTTCATTTTACTATCTTCATACCTGTATTTTTATGTTGAAAAACATGATATATATTTTTATATATTTGTCTCTGTAATTACATGTTTCTTTTTAAAAAATCACACATTTCCATTTTGCGCTTAAGGAAGATTAGTTTAATTTTATAGAAGAAATCATTTCAAGCAATACAAATGACACAATTAGAACAGAGATGACTACTGATTAGAACTTATTCCCACAACAGGTTACTGATTACAGCGGTGACAATTCAATGATCAATGAAGTGAAGATCAAATTCCCTTTTCCCCATCTCTGGACTACGACTGCCGACAAACACGGCAGAGTGCTGCTCATCACAAGGCATAACATAGGCAAAGCTCAACAGAAGATGAAACTACCCCTTAAGACGACAGGGCTTCACTTTCTGCCGCGTGGGTGTTCAGCTTGGGCGGGGTGGCAGTCTTAACTACTCAAAAGCTACAAAATCGAGTCATGAGTGAGAAGCCACTCAGGTGCTCAAGTCCTCCTGTGTGACCACCCCAGCTGTCACTGGCTTTGTGCCCTTTCGGGACAGGACAGTAGGGGATCGGGGAGGGCCAGCACAAGATTGCCTCGCAAAGATAGCAACGCAGGCTCACGTTGGCTTCCGGGTTTCTTTTTAAAACCCTCAGGTGGGGAGGCACTCTGACCGTAAATCTGTGCACGCTGAGCAGTGGCATTTATTGGAAACCCTTGCTTTATGCATGAGCACGGCAGGTTTCCCCCACAGTGCCACTTAATGGGGGTTGGCAGAAAAGGGGCTTCAACCCACAGACCCACTGAGAGGCAGCTCCATGTGGCGGCTGCTGAAAAGAAACGGCCAGTCCATGCGGCCGGGGGACTCTCCCAGGGGAGGAGCTGTGCAGCCCAGGCAAGGCGTGGGCGACTTGCTGCCCCCACCCCAGTCCGGCGGCAGACTGTTGTTGGCTCAAGTTTCCCAGCTGGGGCACAGAGAAGGCCTGCCGTCGTCCTCACGTCGTCCTCACATGCTCAGCGATGCTGTCCGCCACAGGACCACAGGGCTCTGCGTGTCTCTCTCTCTGTTGTGGGTATGTTCACAGAGAAGTTGGCCCAAAAAAAACAAAACAAAAATCCAGCAAGACTCAAGGCAGAAATACATAGCAAAAGACAACAACTGTGAAAAGCATAGAGGTTTCGGTCTTAACCACCACTGACAAAGTCCATTGCCCGTGACAGGTCGCGTGTCAATGAAATGCTTTTACAAAATTCACTTTTAATAAATGCAAAAAGGAAGGTGGATTATACAAGGGGGACAATTACAGACTAATGGGAAGAGAGACGTTGATTAAAAGGTGGCATTTCCAAGGGAGGGGCAGAGAAATCTAGGACGAGGAAGCTCTCTTTTCTATTTTATGTGACCACCTCGCTTCCTTCTCCGAGGCCTCAGAAAGGAGAGTGCATTCCGTATACAATAAATATGTATGAGGCAAAATAGGTATATCATTTGGCATTTCAAGAGAATAATGGTATTTTCTTAATTACATAAAACTTTTTTTCATGAACTACTTCTAAGATTTGTTAAGAAATATTAGGTACATTCCAGTACCGGGGAGAAGGATTATGATTTAAATCAAATGAATCAAACACTCTCCTGTTAAGTGACTTTGCTGGGTAACTGCAGTTACCCGCGTGCGCTTCCTTCCACAGAAAAGCGCCTTCAGAGGTCATCATGTCTATGGCAGAACCGCTGTCTACATCAGCAGGTTCACTGACTGATGCGAGGGCGCGTTCCTAGGTCCCTTTCACTTTCCTTCATGACAGAGCAGTAGAACGGGAGCCCCGGCACCGCCTTCCTGGTCGGTCACAGTCGGATGGGGCGCACAGGAAGGGCGGGTGGCTGGGTCCGGTACAGGGCAGGGTGGACAGCTGCCGTGAACGGGCAGGACCCAGTCAGGGCACCGGGGGCTCTGTGGGGAAGCTCGGAGGGGGCACAGAGCTGTGCATGCTGACACAACACAGAAATGAGGGGCTCTCGGCGCGCAGTCACCGTGGGAGACAGAGCTCTGCGATGCACACACACACACACACGTGTGAACTACGACTGAGCCCCCAGGCAGGATCTTAACAGAACACGAGTGTGACAGTGGACAATGTACATGATAAAGGCACACATGAGAAGCTGGTAAGAGTAACGAATGTAGCACAAAGTGTTTGCATTTCCGTGTCAGAAACAAAACCGGCCCCAAAGTTCCATTCTACTGCATGACAAATACTGAAGAACAAAATTTCAGTCTTAAAATACATCTTAAAAGTCAGTATTTTCCTTCAAGGAAAAAAAAAAAGTACTATAAATAAATTACAATACAGTGAATTTGCCTGAACTCACTTCGTTTCTGTCTTCCAGCCTTTAAGTCAAATAAAACAGCGTAAAAACTGTACACTCTTAACATGATAGTTGATCTTTTATAAAATAACTTGTCTTCAGAGATGTCAATTTCACAACAAGGAAAAACCAAGCCCTGTTGCCGTCACTATTATAAAATATATATGTATAGATATGTGTTTTTTTACAAAATGTGTATATTAATAGCTTTGCACAAATATTTTAAAGACAAATTTAGCTAGTCTAAGAACTTCATGAAAACAAGACAGGAAGATAAATACTTCATGTGTACAAAGCACTACATCAAACATCATCGGCGGGCAGAGGAGGTACATTAATCCTTGGTCTTGTAAAAAATGCTATCTTCTCCCTGGGATTGGAAAGAATTACTGGTTAGAAGCTGATATAAATGCATTGAAAGCTACTGGGAGGCTCTCAGTATCAATGACAGCTTTTCTTACTCACGGAACAAATTGAATTTAAATCTGAACGACGCACCTGTTTGAATACAGAGCCTCTTAAATTTTAATGGACGTTACAAAGCCCCCTGAGGGCACCGATTTATCTCTAGGGCCTAGAACAGCACCTGGTATATAGTATATAGTAGGAACTCAGTAAATATTTGCTTTATTAATAAATTAATGAATAAAAGCTATACAACTGAAGCCATTCTAAATCATAGCTGAAGGAAGACAGTTAAGCACTTTGTTTTTTATGACGGGGATGCGAAAATTCAGGGTATAAAAAAATGAAGAGTAAAAGTTGGGCACATGTTATTCAGCTATAAAAAGGAAATTCTGAGACGTGCTACAATGTAGATGAACTTTAAAAACATGACCCTCAGAAGCCAGGCACAAAAGACTACATACTGTATAACTGCACTCACATGAAACATCCAGAATCGGCCAAGTCATAGAGACAGCAGCAGATTGGAGGCTGCTGGGGGCTGGGGGAGGGAAGCATGGGGAGGGACTGCGTCATGGGCACTGGGTTTCCTTTTAGGGTGATGGAAATGTTTTGGAACTAGACAGAGGGGATGGTTGAAGGACACTGTGAATGTTCTAAATGGTGTGGAATGGTTCACTTTCACCTTTTGTGTTTTATTTATTTATTTTAGAGAGAGAGGAAGGGAGGGCGAAAGAGAGGGAGAGAAACATCAATGTGAGAGAGATATTGCACGTGCCGTGACCGAGGACCAAACCCACAGCCCAGGCATGTGCCCTGACCAGGAATCAAACCAGCAACCTTTTGCTTTGTGGGACAATGCCCAACCAACTGAGCCACTCCGGTCAGGACTAGAATTGTTCACTTTAAATACTTAATTTTATGCTGTGTGAATAGATTAGGGAAAACTCATCTATGCTATTCAGATTCAAAACAGTGGTCCCTCTGCTGTGGGAAGCCTGAGGTTGTAGCATCTGTGATAATTCCCTGAACTAGTTCACGGCTATGATGTGCACACTTCCCGGTATGTCCATTATGTACAATCAGAAGGTAACGAAAAAGGCCAATGTGCTACGTAGATGTATATATAAGTAAATCAATGCGTCGTTTTCCATAGAAAACATTTGGAAAGAAGCAGGGTTATAAAGTAGAATATTCATGTAAATTATATCTACTAGGTGAGCCACGACAGCCAACAAAGATAACAGACTGTGTGGCAACACAGGCTATTGAATTTAAACAAAGCTAAGTGCACAACTGAACCCACATTATGATTACAAGTAGCACGCAAAAAAAAAGTGTCCAGGAAAAAAAAAGATTGGAAGAAAACATGAAACTGCTAATAGAAGTGGGGATTCCTCTTTTGCGGGTTTTCATAAGGCTTTCGTGTTTCTAAAGACAAGTCAGACAGCAAAGAGCAGGACAGCGAGGCATACGTCCTCCCTACCTGAACGTCTGCACTTGGATGGGCTCTTTGTGGTTCTGCCCACGCAGCTGGCAGACCCCTTTGGAGGCCTTCTTCAGCATCTTCTCAGCTGCCTGTTCTTGATGGAAGTCAAGTTTGGTCTGTCTTGTCTGGCAACATTGGATGAACAAGACGTTTTACTACCACTTTAAGGAAGAATGAATGAAGCCACCCCCAACCCTGGGGACCCAGAGGGGACCCACTCCTCCCAGAGAATCTTCAGAGCACCTACTCAGGGTCCCTGGGGCCATGGCCTGACAGACACGGGACACAGAACACCCCATCACAAAGCAGGGAGTTGGGGTGCTGGCGGGAGGAACCCCAGTGCACTCCTGTGCGTCAGCTGCAAAGCATGCGGGTATGTGTTGGTGCTGCCCGAACAGAGGGAGAAACCCAGCTCCTTAATACAAGTGCTTGGATCGCTCATGTAGTTTTATCATCTGAAATACTTACTTGTGGGCCACTAGCCCTAGAGCAAAGGGCAGTGACAGTGTGACCAGGCCCTGGGCCTCTTACCTGCCTCTCTGCTTCCTTCAGCAGACTCCGGAATCGCTCATCACGCAGCACCCAGAGTGGGAGGTCGGTCTGGCCTCGGAGCTGGGCATCTTCCAAGCGCTGCCTCAGCTCCCGGAGGGTGCAGATCTCCTCGTTCAGCTGCCTCTGCCGAGTTCTTGACGCCTGGAGGTCCAGCTCCAGGTCCAGGGAGGTGCGGGCCATGAGTTCAGCCAGGGATGACCTACAGGACTGCAGGAGACCACAGCCATGAGTACGTGTGCTAACAAAGTATGCAAGCATCACATGGCCAGCAAGCTTGGGCCTTCTAGAAGGTTCTCCCACAATTAAAGAACACAGGTGAACCAGTAACCTAAAAGACCCCCTTCTTAAGGTTTCTAAAAGTAACCCCCAGGGTAAGTATAGACTCCATGTTAGCTTACACAGCACACACCTGCTTATAGCGAAGGGTTCGTCTTTCCAAAGTGTTTCGGACAAAGGGAGACTTCCGGGGCAGTGTTGAACTGTCACTGTCACTACGATAGAGCTGCACCAAAAAGAATGAGGTTCACAAACACTTTCTTGGAAATTCAAGATTCCTTCTCTTTGCACTCTGAATCAGATTATTTTCTTTCTCCTCAGAGGCACTCAAATGTATTTATGAATTGTAGTGCTTTTACCAAGATTCCTGGTTTCAGTAACAAGACTTTTAAGTAAAACAAAAGACAAAGAAAAACAAACCAATTAAGCATACCAAGACTCCCCACTCCCCGCCAACCCGGCCCTCCTTCATGTCTATCAACCAAACCACAGGAACTTTCTAGGCTAATTGAGTCCACAATATTTCTGTTCCACCAACAGCAACTGTGACTTGATATGATGTGTGATGCTCATGAAAGCCAGCACTGTCCTCAGCGCTTGGCACTCTTCGTCATTGTCATCTGCTGCGTTTCTGGTTTTGGCAAGAGCTGGAAAGAAAGTGCTTTCCCAAACCGAGCCTCGTTCCTGCAGTAGGACACGGCAGCAGCCCTCATGCCCGCTCTGCCAGTCCAGGGGAGAGGCTTGCCTTGGAAAAGAAAAATAAATAATGCCTTCTTTATGGGAGCCAAGACGTTATGTATTTCATTTGGTGGCGGGTTCTCGCTTCAGGATCAATGTGGATCTGTGTGAAAGCCAAAGTCCTGGCCTTCATGGCCTTGTTTTCCACGCCAATTAACCCGAAACACTCAGGCAGAGCCACGGCATGGCAGCTGCCGCGCCTCCTGGTCATGACAAATATATATATGAAAACAAAGTGGCCTCTGACAGTGCCGTCAGTAAACGCGTGCATTTAGGCAGGGCACGGAATGCAGACAGGCACCGGACGCCTTCCTCCGGGAAGGAAAGGCTTTCCTCCTCCACCTCTCCTTCGCAATGAGCAGGCTTGAATCTTCTCCGCAGCGTTTGGCAAGAGTCCTAGGAAGGCCTGAGGATGGCCGTCGAGCTAGCGTCTCCAGCCGCCTGATTCATCAACACTGGCTCGCGCAGGGCTGAATCCTTTTCCCCCTGACTTTAATAAGTTCCATCACCTCTCTGAATTCGACATCGTTCAATGCAAAAGTCCGCACATTACCGCAGAATCTGTACATGTTTAGAGAACCCCTGAAATGGACTGTTCCTGAGCCTCTGAGCCAATGCTGACTTTACAGCCCTATCAAACTGAAGGAGAACTGGAAGGGCAGGTTGGGGAGTGATCTGTGGAGACTGTATGACCTCAGCAAGGCCTTCCTGATGACTGTTCCCCAAAGTGGTATTTCTGTGCACCTGACATGCCACAGCTTAGGAGGAAGAAACTGGTTTTCTTATCCAATCTTGCACTGAGGTCCTGTGGGGAAGATGCTTCCCACTGCGGAGCAGACAGAAGCAGCAGGGCCAGGAGCCCAACAGAGGAGCTGAACCCTGACGGGGCAGGAGTGCCTGGGCTTCACTCTGTGCCACCCAGGGCAGCCGTGAGCTCATTTCCGTGCAAAGAAGAGCAGCAAGTCTCACAAATGTGGCAGGAAGGCGGCTATGGCCCCCTAGGTGCCACCTCCTGCTGTTCAGTGTATGCGGTAAAGGATTAATATTACCCCAAGAAAGGTCATTAGCCAGCTCCTGGGAGGTCACCTGGAAGGCCCTGGAATGTGCTGCCTAGGCATCTTTGGGGACCTTGGGCCAGGCTGCATAGTCTCTGCTGACAATGCGATTTATGGTAGGGGCCTCTGGCCATCACCTTGACCTCTGAAGGGCCTGGAGATCACAGTGAGCCACTTCAGCCACACGGCAATGGACTAGGACAACATGGCCAACCCCACAGAAACCCTGCACACCAAGGCTCAGGTGACCCTGCCTGCTGGGCAGTACCCCGTGCGTGCTGTCACTGCTGGGAGAGATACGAGCTGTCTGCACAGCTCTGCTGGAGAGACCGACTAGAAGCTTGTGCCCAGTGTCTCCTGAACGGTGCCCTACGTGCCTCTTCCTTCTGCTAACTTTGGTCTACACCCTGTCACTGTAAACGATCGTGATCATGAACATAATAATGGCCCTGCCCTAATGAAGCCAGCTCCTTGGCAGTCCCTTCAAGTCCAATTCAGAGGAGTGGAAAGGGTCAAACTTCTCCCCAGTCCAGTGTCCCTTTCAGGTCACTGTGTCGAAATCATTTATGCTTAAACATCCCTTCTCTGTCCTCGTCTGTGCTGTCACTCTCACACTGTCGCTGCCCGCTAACCTCCAAGATGCTGTCCCTTCTTTAAAAACTACAGTGGATTGGGTCTCCCTCTCCGGTTATTCGAGGCTCTCAACCCTGTGAGCACGCTACATCTCAGAGCTCCAATGCCCAGGCCCCAGCATGACCAATGGGGTGGTACCCAGGCACTGGCATTTGGGAATATATATTCCCAACATGACTGCGCTGCAAGGAGCAGCTGGGCTTGAGAGCCAGCCAGCACCTCCTGCCACCACCCGTGGGGCACGACTTTACATGCAGGGAGGCGGAAGCGGCAGCCCCGGCCCCCGAGTGCTCAGGGCTGCCATCCTCCCTGGGCCTCCCACATGGCTATCCTGCAGCACTTCTGACTGACCCACAGTGAGCTGACTTGCCGATCTCAACCCCAGGATATCCCTGTTTCAATTCATTAACCTTTAGACTGATGTACAAAGGAGTCACCCTGCTTCCTGACCCTGAGTCAGTGCATACGTAGCACTGAAAGTCTCACGGGAAAGGGACTGGAATTCAGAAGAAATCCAGTTAGGTATGTATGGGACAAGGTAGGGCAGAGGACAGCAGCATGGATTTCGTATCACAAGGATGCTGCTCACTGATTGGGATTAGCTGTGAGAACACCTATGTCTTTTAGCATAAAGAATAAAAATGAAAACACAACCAAGGGAGGGGGAAAAGCAAACTTTTTTTTTGGTGGCAAAGGAATTCCAACTTACTCTGCAAACATACTGGCTTCGCGCCCCAGGTGAGAAAGTCTGGGAACGGACAATGGTGCTACTGCGGACAAAAGGTGACCCACGGACCCTGCGGCTGGCCCGCTCCTTCGGAAGACTGGCTACTTCTTCTGGGAAGAGGTCTTCGGTGTTGGTTTCCTTATCAACCTAGACAGTAATTCATTATTACCACCACTTTTTCTAGAACACAGCAGTAAACTTTGTGCGCACAACCATGTCCTTGCCTTCTCTACTTGGAACTCTGACTGCCATGTGACACTTAACACATCTGAAACTGAATTTCGGTTATCTCCCAACCCGTCCTCCTCTGACAAGGATCTCTACTGGTCAGTTTTCGTGCAAAAAAAAAAAAAAAAAAAAAAGGCCTTTGTGTCATCCTGGATTCCTGTCCTCTTTCGCACACCCTGTATCTGGCCCAAAATCAAGTCCTGTTGGCTCTACAGTCAAGATGACGCATGTTTGGACCACCTGTCACCAATCCTCCATCTGGGTCACTATGGTCTGATGCCCAATGAATGCAGTAGGCACCTCATCCATCCCCTCGATTGCATGCCTGCCCCCTTTCCATCTCCTCTGCACACAGCACCCAGGAAGACCCTGCTAGAACCGCAGCCAGATGCAGCTGTTTCTTTCCTATGAGTATATGGAAAAGACCTGAAAACAGGAGTTTGCTACCGAGAAAGGAAAGGCTGTGTAAGCTGCCCCAACCTGATCGGTAACCAGGGGAACAGCAAAGTCCTACCCAAGGCCTTCCATGGGGCTGGTCACGTACACTCTCTAACAGTCCCAATTACAAAGATAAATGATTATAGGAGGCAAGGCCTGTTCTTTCTACATCCTGATAAAGGTTTCAAAATAATTGCTTCCAGGCCCATTCCCATGACTCCCTGACTCCAGACACTTGATGACCCCACCTTATCTGCACATTCCCTCCGCCTGAGGTTGTCCATTTCCTTGAATGTATGGGGCTTACTCACACTGCTGACACATAGCTGTCTTACTCTGTGTCCTCCTGCCCATAGAAGCTACTGTCACGCACTTGTCTAAAGCTGGACACTGTTTTATGGTTTCTCGGAACTCTGCTCTCGGGCATGTCCTCAGTTAGGCCCACATAAAAGTCTTTTCTTAAATCTACAAAGGTTCAAGTCTTCTTCTTGTGGACAAAACAAGTATTGCGCACGAATGTTTTCACAGCAGCATTATTCAGATAGCCGAAAGGTGGAAACAGTCCAAACATGCACAAACACGTGAGCAGATAAGGCACTGTGGTGGGCCCGGGCAAGGGCAAACTGCTGAGCTAGGAACAGGGCCGAAGTCCTGAGAGACGCCACAATGCGCGCAGATGAACCCAGAAAGCATTAGGCGAGTGAAAGAAGCCCAACACAAAAAGCCACATATCGTGTGATTCTATTTACACGAAACGTCTAGAATTGGCAAATCCATAGAGACAGAGGCAGACTGGTGGTTTCCAGGGAGACAGGGAATGGGGCGTGACTGCTAGTGGGGGCGGGGCTTCACTTTGGGGTAACACAAGTGCTTGGAACCCAGCAGAGGTGGTGACTGCACGACACTGTGAATATCCATAATGCCACCAAACTGTTCACTTTGAAATAGTGCCTTTCATCTTATGTGAATCGCATGTCAATAAATTAGAAACAAATCCACCAAAAAACTGAAGTCAGATCATGTCACCCATGGGGCTCAAACCAGCCCCTTTTCCACAGATTTGAAGTGTTTCCAAATGAAAAGGTGAGGAGTGGGCCACACCGCACTAGCTTCCCACAGCCTCTTGCCGTGATCCTGGCCAGTGCCTCCGAAGGGGCTGGGAAATCAGACGGTGGCAACGCAGCAGCCTGGCCCTGACACATACGCACCCCAGCCTGGGAAGCTGCCAGGGGGGTGGGTTTCACAGGTTGGGGACAAAGTTTCAACAGAGCCTTGGTGAGTTATCTTCCACCTGCACTGGTTCCCTTAGACATTTGTCACTGCAAGCCTGAAAGATGACCTCCCTGAACATTTGGGGATGAAAAAACTAAGGTCAGGTGAAGAGAAGAGGCAAAAGGATGCTTTGCTGTTTTTAACATCCTGAAGGGAGAAAAGCAAGTGTCCAAAACCGCGGGACCCCCAAAATAGCCTGCGCCTGGCTGGCCCTGGAGGCGGGACTGGGTCATCACCAGGTGGCATGTGAAGGGGTTAAACTCAACCGTTTTTAGTTGTAGTTGTCCTTTCTTTTCAATCTGAAGTTGACACACATTTCTATGAGCCTCTTGATTGATGTTAAGCCAGTCCCTGCTTTTCCTTTCCTTTGGCTCTCGGCAAAGTAACGCCCTCACTAGGAGCCTAATTCAACAGCACTGTGCATTTTAGACTACACAGCCAAGGCCACTGTCAACGTTTTCTCCGTCGCTCAGCCAGGTTTGGCATTTTACTACTCCTGCCTCTGAGTCTCTTGGCTCCGCTCTCCTTTAGCCCTTCTACCCGCCGATGCCCATGGTTTCACCTGAATGGCACGGGGCACGTGTGCTTTGCTGCCAGGCACTGGGTGACGAAGCATGTGGGGTTCCAGAGACCCCCTTGACCGTAATGACTTACCTTTAGCAGAGGGGGCTGAGGTTTCTGAGGGCCATAAGCATCTGCCTGTCCTGCAAACGGCTGTCCGTGGGTGGAGTCCACAGTGGTGCAGCAGGGCTCTGGGTGCGGGGGGCTGGTCTGGGTGCAGCTGCTACAGCCGCTGTCCACCGAGTCGGCCTGCCAGCTCCTAAAGGTGCATATTGCAAAGCCCACAGAACGCTCACCCAAGGAACAGTTCCCTGCTGCACGCAGAGCACAGCAGCAGAAACGCCCCATTTCCGCTTCCAGTCTTTGGAGATAGCTGCTTTTCTTATAGAAATGCACTTATGTTTTCTAGGGGGACAACGCTCCAAGGACTTTCCTGAAGAGACTCTGTCTGTCCTCATCCCCCAGTCGCACCTGCTGAAGATGCCAGTGTCCTGAAAATCCCGCCCCGGGCCTCTCGCAGCTGCCCGGCCCTGAATACAACACTGTCCCCCTCGGCCATGCACCTCCCTCCATAAAAGAAATCCCTCTCAAACAAATCCAGGAAGAGCTACAGGAAGAAGCAGGAAGCTTTAGAAATGCGACACTCTTTATGGAAAACCATGGAAGGAAAGCAACATGGAAGTGCCTCTGGAAAGGTTTAGACAGAAGCCGGTCCACTAGACATATTGGGCATCGAAATGACTCTTCTACGGCAGGTGGGTCTGCGCAGAATCAGGGGTTCACCCACAGGCCACTTCTGGTAAGACGGAAGGGAACATCACACGGTTGCACTTAGATGAAATGCCCAGACCAGGCAAGTCCTCAGACACGGCCAGCAGATGAGCAGTTGCCAGAGGCCAAGCAAAGGAGTGATGGGGGTGACAGCTAATGGGTGTGGGGTTTCTTTTTGGCCTGATGAAAATCGATTATGGTGATGGTGGCACAACTCTGTGACTGAACGAAAAACCACCAAATTGTCCACTTTAAATGGGTGAATTGTATGGTAGGTAGATTGCATCTCAATACAGCTGTTAAAAAAAAAAAACTTAAAGGGACCTTATTGTATTCACTCCTGGCAGAGTGGAGTCATTCAATAGTCCTGCTCTTTAGGAGAAATCCCGGAACAGAAGGAGAAGGTGAAAAGCCTACACAGAGAGCAGGGGGAGAGAGGTCAAAGTTCTGCCCTCATCCAGATCAGCATTCAATTTCCCAGGAGAATCCCCACTTCTCTGAATGAGAAAAGCAACTTGCGCCCAAAGGCTCCCGGAACCATGGCTGATGAACACTGCACCGGCCTCATCCCCGACAAAAGGCACGTCGCCTCGCTGACAGTTCCAAGGAGCCTTACCGCTCAGACACGGCCTCCACCTGCTCCTCCTTCCGTTCCATCTCCAGGATCTCCTCCTCCGTGTACTCCAGCTTCACACGCTCCTCAGCCAGCTCTCTCTCCACTGCCTGCAGCTGGGCTGTGGTTCTAGCCAGCAGCACCGTCACCGCATCCTGAGGGAGGAGAGGGACATGTGTGAGAACCAGCTCAGACCAGCAGGCCTGGGGCCCACCCCTCGGTAAGGTCCCTTCCTCCAGGCTGGCGGCCGTATTCAGCCGCTCTCCAGTGGGAAGAAGTCCACCCCACTGCTAACAGCTAAAGGCTCAAATTTAAAAACCATAAATGTGCCGCTCACGATCATGAACACGTTGGTGTTGAAAAGACTGTCCTGAATGGCCGTGCACATCTATACCTTCCACTTTCATGACTTCCCTTATAAATCTGCTGCTTCACTGCTACGTTCTAACACTACATCTATACAGACTCTTCTTGGAGAGGACCTCCCCCAGGAAAAGCCAGTCCCAAGGCCAGGAAGCAGGAGGGAGATGCTCTGTAGGAGAGACACACGCACCGTCTTCCCAGTGGCAATGGCGGCGGCTGCTGCAGTCGTGGCTGCTGCAGTGGTGGCTGCTGCTGCGGCTGTGGCTGTGGCAGCAGTGGCTGTGGCAGCAGTGGCAGGGGCAGCAGCGGCAGCAGGGACAGTGGCAGCAGCGGCGGCAGTGGCAGCAGCAGCGGCGGCGGCGGTGGTGGCAGCGGCGGCAGAGGAGGCAGCGGTGGCGGCAGCAGAGGCGGTGGCGGCAGCAGAGGTGGCGGCGGCGGTGTGCACAGGGTCCCGGGCCCCACTTTTTTCAGCCCGGGAATTTTCCCTTGTCCTGGGCAGCTCAGGGATGGTGAACACCTGGACTGGGTACCAGTGCAGCTGCATTTCACTCAGGCTGTTACAGTCGGCCAAGTTAATTTGAGCAATGCCCTGCACGGGTGTTTAAAAAAAAGGGCAGAATAGGTACGGAGTGATTTCACCTTAACAACCAACGGGAATCTTCTAAAAACAGCAAGGTCACCCCCTTGATCCTGATCAAAAAGCAGGTAAGATGTTTCATTGCCCTTCAATTGACTGCAGTAAAATGAAAGTGGTCACAGAGGAGCCTAATGGGGATGGGACAGGCTTCTCGATCGCTTGTTCAGCCTAATCAGAAAACACTAGAGTCTACGGCCATACCACCCTGAACGCGCCCGATCTCGTCTGATCTCAGAAGCTAAGCAGGGTCGGGCCTGGTTAGTACTTGGATGGGAGAAAACACTAGAGAAGGGACAGGGCCAGAAAATGGCCAACCTAAAATGGGGGGGTGGGCTCGGGATCTGCCACTTGATGGGGCTGATGCTCTCGGGAATGTTTGAGAGCAGAGAGGCCTGGCTGAACCTACAATCCCCAATTCCGCTGCTGAGGGGCCAGGACCAAAGGACAATATTCCAGCCTTACAAGGAAACCACTCTGGCCCCCAAGTCTGGCCGGGCAGTGGATGGTCAGGGGACTGAAGGCAAAGTGCCAGGAAAAAATACAGGGCCATCCAGGTAAAGTGTGAATTGCAAACGAGCAACTTTTTAAAAAAGTATCAGTATGTCCCAAATATTGTATGAAACATATTTATACTAAAAAAGTACCTATAATTTATTTGAAATTCCAATTTAACTGACCACCCATATTTTTATTTGCCAAATTTGTGTACCCTACTTAGTTCCTTCGACTAAAAATGGGGATAATTTAGAAGCTGTCGAATAGGAGTTTTGCAAGTATTATTTGAGATGATATAATATATTTACAGTACAACACACATGATAAGATAACTGGTTGTGTCATCTTTTTGTAGTCCCAGTTACAGAGACCCTTCTTAACATGCTGATTTCTAAGCAACCCATGGCTGGGAACCAGAAGGAGGGAACCGAGAGGACAGGGGAAGAGGGACAAAAGCAGAGACAAAGAAAGGAAGATAGACTGGCAGACTAAGACGAAGAAAGACAAAAGAGGGAGGAAGAAAGAACGGGAGACAAAGAAAGACGGACTGATAGGAAGACAGAGAAAGGAAGGGGGGAGACAGAGAAGGGAGTGATGCGCAGATGCGCAGGCCATACCAGCAGTTCTTCCTGCAGCTGCGGATTCACTGAACACACATATAGTTGAAGGGACTTCAACGTGTTTGAATGCACAGGGATTCTGAAAACATCATTAAATACCAGGGGGGGCTGGAATTCCACAGACTTGGAGCAGTAAGTGTCTGGTGTGGCAGAGTCCAGCGATGGCAAGTAGACACGGACATGTCTGCAAGCGGAGAAGAGAAAGCAGCAGACAGAGTCAGGCTACAGACAGTCTGCATACCACTCACGAACACGGGCGCGGGTGTGCACGTAGCTCTCTTTGAACACCCGTGGGCAAAACTGCAAAGTCTTCTGGAGAAAGTCCTTTTCTCTGCAAAGAGTAAGGCCTAGGAACTTACATGTCCCTAGAGGTTGGAGGGAAAGCCAGGCTCAAAGAGAAAGACTTCAAAGGCAGCAGTCAGGCCTCAGAGGAGTCAAGCAGAGGTTCTGCTCTCCCGTCTTTTGGGGAAAACATCTGCCCTGATCTCCCCAGTGTGCCTTGGCTCCCTCTTCAAGCTTCGCTTGCCTGGCCCGGGGGGCTGGGTCTCCTGCCCTGTCTGCCCCAGCACAGATGCTGGCATACAGGGGAGGCTCAAGAATAATGGTGAACACACTAAGTCCACCATGGGGAGAACAAAGTCCCGGGAAGCCCTCAGCCACCTCCACCCCGGCTACTTCCGAGGCCTTTGGAAGACTAGTTTATGAAGGAGACTCATGGAGGGGAGTATGCCCTTGGACTTGAATTCCAGGTGTGCTCACCCACCTGGGTAACTGGGACTTCCATCCAGCACCCACCTTCAGCTTTGGAGCCCACAGAGGTAGCGCCTCTCAACTGGTGACAACTTGTATTTCCTTTTCCTCCCCTCAGACAAGGAGCCCTGTTTCCCAGCCAGACGCCTCTTCAGGCACCTCATTGGATCACAGAGCCAAGTGTGGCTTCATTACCACCCAGCCCCGTGACCTGGATGGACAACTTAAGCCCAAATGTAGCCAATGATGGGCACTTGGCACTTTCTTGGTATCACCGCAGCACGTGGGCGGCCCAGCTCCATTCACTTTGTCTGCCTCAAATAATAAGGCAGATTCTTCTTAAAATTACAGTCCTGCTTTTAAAGACAGACATTCCCTGGTTTTGTTGTAAATTGGGGTTCCAAACTGGTCATGTCCCCAACCCAAACTGCCAAGTGCAGCAGGCCAGCGGGTGGCACCGCAGGCAGCAGGCCCGGGAGGCCGGGGATGGTAGACGGGACGTCCACCGGCCCAGAAGCTCACATTTTGCAGTCTTCCTTCACAGGCAGCCTGGCAAAGTTCTTCAGCTGGAGCACATTCACGAGGAGACATTCGTTGCCAGTGTCATGCCTAGAAAATGAAATGCTAATTCAACAACCACCGATTCCCCAAGGTGTGTAAATGCTTCTGACTGAACTACAGCAGTGGCCCGCAACTGAGGGCAGTTCTGCCACATGCATCATAGCTGGAGACACTTTGGGCGTCATGACTGGGCAGAGGATGAGCTACCATCATCTGGTGGGTGGGGACCAGAGATGCTGCTCACCATCCCACCGAGCACAGGACAGCGCCCACAACAAAGAATGACCCAGTCCCAAATGACACTACTGCCAACACTGAGAAACACTCAACTGGAATAACAAGAGTGAGCAAAAGAAAACTTGGGCAGTGAACATCCTGCCTTGGTATAGTCTGAACACTATTGAAAGTAAGTAGAAACCAAAAAGCCACGCACTGCACACCAGATGGCTGCTTACCAACTCTGGGGAGCAGGCGGCAGGCCTGCTGTCTGCTCGGCAGTTCACACAAGCAACTCTGTGCAGAAAAGTGAGAACTTCCCCAAGAAGTTCCCCACCTCGCCGGGGGCTTTTAGTGTTTCTACATGATGGCCCCAAACCTCTGGCTCCATGAGGTGACAGTTCTCAGCTGTGACTCTCAGTGTTGGAGGACAGCAATGGAGCTGCTCTTCCCCAGCTCTCCTTCCTGCCACCTGTGTCCCCTCACCTGGGACCGCCGTCGTGGCCTCAGGGTATCTAGGCCGGTGAACAGCCCCCAATCATGTAGGTCCGTCCACCCGCCCCTCCTGGTCCCTGCATGGAGGTGTGAGCCGCTGGGCAGGCCCCAATCTACTGTAGGTCACCTTTACAAGCGTCAGGGGAGGAGCCTTCTGTACTCACCAGAACCCAACGTGGATCTGGGGCCCTTCGATAACACAAGTGTCTCCGTGCGCAGGCTCATCAGCATCTTCACTCCTGAGCACAACCAGAAAGTCACAGCGGTCACTCCACAGGCAACTGGTGACCGTGGGGTTAGCACATGCTCTGTCATGTGAGGGGTGCTTCATACCAAGAGAAGATTTATTAAATTGTGACATGAGTAAATAAATGCTTCAAGCGACTGCAGGTCCCCAGGTCCATGATACATCTCGCTGGGCACCTGCCTCTGAACTGGTATGTTTTCGAAAACAACTTTGCATACCTTTCGAAATCACTTGTGATACTTGGAACAAAGTTCAAGGATGAACTTCTAAGAAGTTTGCAATCACTGAGATGAAACAATGACGGTAAAGATTCCAAGTAGAAGGAACCTCCAGATCCCAAAAGGTGCTTTGTCATCGCAAAGCGATTCCTCTAGCTCGGGAGAGGAGGAAGTTCATTTCTAATGAGCGTCCTTTCTAGCAAAGCAGGTCAAGCAGGTCTCTCTTGTATATGGATTCTCTTTTTCTGGTTCTGCTCAGCTTAAGAACTAAACCTACCAGGGCCAGAGAGAAAAGCCCTAGAACCACAGGATGAGAGCCGGCCATCAGACCCCACACAGAAGCCAGAGGAGTTTTTTCTTTGCAGGTTCTTAAGCCCCAACCACCAGTGTGGAGAGAAGCCCCAAAAAGCCCCACCTGGGTACACATCAAGTCTCAATATGTGGGATTCTCGGGATGGGTCCCTTTCGTGCTCACCAGTAACACTGTGGGATGGCTGCTTAGGGAGAAGGAGATAATAAGATCAGCTTCTAACCTTTTACTTGGAGGTTCAAATACCCCACTATCAGTGGCCAGCGAGTAATCCGACAGGCAGGCAGAAATGCGGCGCGCTCTCCTCTCCAACCTCTTGGCGCTGTCTTCTCGAAGAGTCACTGCTACAAATAAGAGACACAGATCAGGAGGACCCAGCACGGGAGGCCAGGGATGACTTCTAGGTCAAGCATATCCACGGTCACTGTGCTCCAGAGACACTCCGTATGTACGCCCATGTGGTTAAACATGCGCTGCTCAACTTTTTCTCAAACACTGAAAAATCAAAGAAATACACTTCTGCCTACTTCTTTGAAAGCTCCTTGAACTATTACAAATGTCTTTTCACTTCCTAAATGAGGAGCAGAGAGCATGAGATGTCAGTCGGGAGCCCCTTCATATCGCACTGGGAGACTGTCACACTCAAACGACTAGGAGAGACATGTTACCCCACATGCAGGCAACAGCTGCCTCTCCAAGTGGGGGGCAGGGATTTCTCATTTCCTTCTTTATGCTGTTTGGCATTTTCCATGTTTTATATACTAAACGGACACTAGCATTTTGAAATCAGAAAACATAAAAAATTTTCTAAGTAAACTCTAACCAAAATGTAGTGACTTTCAAATCAGAGAATACAGCTGACCACAGATGCAGCCTTTGAAAACATGCCCTTGAACGTCTGTCCATCCAACTGCACTATCCTCCATAGCCCAGGTTTGCTTCCAAAATTGCTTTCCTGGGATTAGAACACAACCGTTTCTATACAGTTTCTTTTCACCTCACATCATTTTTAATGAAGAACCGAAGATAACCACTGATATCTTTCCTCCCAGCATTTCCTCAACTGTTTCTACTCCTTCCCTCATAGCACCAAGTTCCTTTTAACAAAACCATCACTAGACAGGCTCATCATCTGTCGCTATGTCCCCAGAGCACCTTTACTGTGCAACTGAGCCCCACTCTGACATGGCGGTGCCTCCTGTTCATAACGCACCTTCTCTGTTGTGCCTGCGCTTTTCTTCAGCCACCTAAGCTCTAGAAATGGAAAATCTAGACATCTGTGCACCCCCCAACTTGAGGGAAATGGCGAGTCTACCTGTGGCCATCTCCCTTGTCAATCAAATTACTATTCACACACCAGTGAAATCTAAACACTTCCAACGACACACAAAACAGACACAGCTATGGTTCTCTGTCTCATCATCTCAACTGCAGACAGAAGCTGACCTTCCAAAGGTCTACGGGGCCACGCCTGGGGACCACCAGCTCCTCTTCTAGTCTGGGCCAGAGCCACCGACTCTCAAACGCAAGTGCTGCTCTTCCTGTCTCTCCTGCCATCTAGAAGAACCCAAAGTCCCCAGCTCTGAACTGTAGACGGAAACCCTCAGTTTAATGAACAGATCCTAGCAAACAAAAACGGCTGTTTCCACTGGAAGCCCTAACACTTGACACAGCTCTGATGTGGCTTTGTGTTCCTTTAACACTGTGAAATAGGCACTTCCAGTTAACCTGATGGTGTGACTCGGACCAAGTTTCTCTCTCATCACAAGGAAGGTGGACGAAGAGACAAGGGAAATGAAGCAATTACTCTTCAGTAATCCCAGGATATGCCACTAAACAACCAGAAGCAGAGCTAACTGAAGGAAGTGAGGCCAGCAGTTGCCCTGGGTGAGGAAAAAAGCGCACAGCAGACTCCCCTGCCCCCCGCATGTACCCCACCTGTCTGATCTCAGGTGTCAAGGCAACGAGATGGAGCATGGGAGCAACGCCAATGAACTCAGGAGTAAACAAGCTTCCAAACAGTTGCTTTTAAAATCTCTACCTTTTTCATCATTAAAAAACAGACACACAGACACTGAGACCTAAGAACATCAATGCTGCTTGACAGAAAGGAAGAAGACAGAATGAAAATCACATTGTAAGCAAAGCTGCCACCTAGCATATTAAAAATAATGAAAGCAAAAAAAAATGAAAGCCATTAAAAATCCAGGGGAAAGTATACAGAAGAACAAACAGTTCGAGCTTTTCTTTCTTATACAACTCTAGCTGGCATGACAAATACTAATGTTGAAATAATAATGATAATCGTTGAATTTCACTGAAGTACAACTATAAGCCATGCCCTCTTGGTCACACCCCAACCATCCTGAAGACACTGATTCATTGCCCAAAGATGTGCCACAGCCTGACCAAGAAGGTAAAGGAAAATTCCAAGGTCACTTACAGTGAGCGTTTCTGTGGAGTTGCATGAGAAAAAGAGATAAAAGCACAAAGTGAAAAAACTTCAGAATTTAAGCCAATAATTTTAAATAGCACGAACATCATAAAAACATCAAGGAGTCGATAAGCAAACTCAAGGTTTTCGAGGCTTTAGATTAGCAAATACCAATGGGAAATTAAAAACTGGAAAGTATTTCAAAATGATGAAACATCTGATTTTTAAAACTCAGGGAAGATAAAACTGTAGTAAAATGTAAAAAAATGTTCCAGATCACAATCTATTGCCATACTTCCCTGTACCGCCTTCTGTTCCTTGAAACTGATTTAAGAGAAATTATATCCTAGGGCTTGTCTTGTAGGTTTCAGCAATTTGGAATGTTATCTCCCTAAAATTGTATCTAACTAAAACTTGCTTGAGGTCATATTCAGACCGTACTGTTCTTAGGCAGACGGGAATGGAAAGTCAGAGGGAACTATGTGACCTTGGGCTTCATAAATGAGGGGCAGAGTAACATGAGTGCTGAGACCCTTAGTACCTTTATGAAGCTATGATGACTCTGGGATCAGGCAGGCCCCCCAGAATCAGGGAAGCAAGCAGCCACCCTGCGTCCGAGTCTGAAGCTGGTTCCCCAATCCAGCCCTCTGGGAGCTCCCACCAGGACCCATCTGCTGGGTCATTGCTAGTTCGTAAGGAATCAAGTCAACTGACAGTGTCATGAAGGAATATGCCACCAGGTGGCAATATGTGACCACAGCATACACGAATACCTTCTAGTCTTAAGAAGTTGGAAGCCTTATAATGTCAGTTACAAAGGGGAAAGGAAAAAATTTAAGAAATCAGGATTAGAAATTAAGCCAACTCTTCCCTACCTTGTCTTTCTCTTGGCCCAAAAGGGCCCTTGGGCCAAACGTGGATTTTCTGCATAATGAGACTGACACTCCTGTATCTCAAACCTTTAAAGAGAAGTTTGCATGGAAGGCAGGGGCACTGAGAAAGTAAGCTTAAGTAACAACAGATTAATTCAGTCTCTATTTTGTATTTTCTTTTGAGAATGAAAGGAATAAACATGGAGCCCTGAACTTGTGATTCTAAAAAACAAAACCAATAAAGATCACCTGTTATGTGTACCCTGTGCCTGGGGATGTAAAAGGTGTGTTTGCTTACACGGAGGGGAAGACAGAAAGTGATACAGATGCCAAAAAGCCTCAGAGCTGATGAAATACATGTTAACAGAGACCATTCTTCATATTTATATTTATATATATATATATATATATATATATATATATATATATATATATATGTAGTAACCAGCGTGGTTATATATAAACCCTCATGGGTAAAAGAATAGTGGGGAATAGAAGGGCCCATAAAGATCACCTCATTCCAGGGCAGGGAAGATAAGACCCAGCCATGTCCAGGAACGCGCTGAAGGTCACCCAGGTAGCAAGTCAACAGGGCAGGGAACAGATTCTGGGTCTGTAAGTTGCTAGTCTAAAAACTGTTTCCACTACACTACCTGCTTGATATCAAATTTGGTTTTGTATTCAGATTTTATTTCAACCCTTTACTGCTAAATTATTCAACACTACATGACCAGGATTTCTGAGCCCCGCTACTAGTGACACTTGGGCTGGGATCATGCTCTGTGGTGGGCGCTGTCCTCTGCACTGTTGGGTGTTGAGCAGCATCTCTGCTCTCCTCCCGCTAGATGGCGGTAGCACCTCCCTACCAGCAACCCCCCCCCCACCACTACCCCCTGTCCCCAGGTTGTGAACACCAAAAATGTCTCCAGACAGAGGTTGCCAAGTACCTCAATGGGAGCAAAACGCCCCTGCTTGATGCCCACTGTGCTATACTAATTATCCGCTGCTCACCTAACAGAATGCTTAAAGCAGTTTTGGTGTGCTAATAAGTTCATCAAGTAATGAACTTCAGGGATGAGAGCGCTTATTCTTGGTCTTCTCTCATACCTGAGGAACTTAAAAGTTCCTGGAGGTTGGCTTAGAAAAGCAGAAGGGGTCAAGATGAGGAGGGCTGAAGCCCAGGGCCTGCTTAGTGCACAAGCCGTCAGCTGGAATATTCTCTAGAACAGCAGTTCAGTTTTCTACATGAACTATAAGCTGACAGGCCCTGGTACCAAATAGAAGTTGAGTTAACAGTGACTGGAGAAATGAAGTTTCCCCGGGGCTACATGTTTCTCAATCTGAAGACCACCAGAGAAACTGAGCCGGTATGCCAATTATTTTCATTTCCACTCTGGAGAGATAGAACCATAACCTTCTAAACTATGAGGACAAAGACTTAAGAAATGAAATCATAAAGACAAAGGAAGTAGACCTTCCCCTCAGGTACAGGCAGACACCAGTGTACGTGCGGGTCTGGAGCAGCACCCAGGGAACATTCCGTCTGGACACGCCCTGAGAGCTCACTGAGGCCCTAGCGCCTGTCTCTCAGCCCCTCAATGTGGGAGACTGTGTCGTTCTTGCCCTCCTTGTCCACAATTAAGCACCTCCTGAAAACAAGCCTGGGAAAGACTACTTTGCCAATTTCGGTGACCTTTCCAGGATACAGCCAGCCAGCAGCCTCCCTCACCCTAGCAATGGTCCAGAAATTAAAGCTCGCTGTGTCATTGAAACACCTGCTGGCTTCAGTGCCCTTACACATGATTTCTTCCCTAAATTTGAAGCCTCCCTCCCAGGACCAGGAAAACCCGCAGGACTTGTGTATACTTACTTGTACCAGTGGCAATGGCAGCCACTTGGGGTGCCCGCTCACGAGGTCCTTCCCCATCAGCAGGGAATGCATACGGCGGAGGGGCCGCCGCGCCCTGCAAGTCTTCCTCTCCTACAGCAGAGGCCTGAGTCCGCAGTCTGTCCGGGGCACCCAGGCTTGGCACCTCCAAACTGTCCCCCGGCGGGGCCAAGGGCGAGTCACGAGAGGCTGGGAGGAAGGGTGTATCCAAAGGGGAGCTTGGGGGAGACAGAGAGGACAGGGAAGAACGGGAGGACAGGGAAGCCAGAGACTGTGGTGTATCCAGGGAGCGCCTCTGCTTATGGAAGCCGGAGGGAACCGGGGGCTCTGCGAGGGGAGCATCCCGTCCCAGGGTGTCGAAGGGAATCAGATCAAAGCGCAAAAGCTGGCTGCACTCAGCATCAGGTTTCTCGTACTGTGGCAGGCCGTAGATGTCGGTGAAGCTAACAGAACTCAAGGAACCCCGGCTGGAGGCCAGCGAGCCCCGGCTGGAGGCCAGGGACCCACGGCTGCTCCCCGAAGACATGGTCAGGGTGCTGGCAGACAGGCTGAAATGAGAGAACCCACGCCCTTAGGAAAGCAGCCCGAAGATCCGCACTGGAGCCCTGCTGTTCGTGGTGAGGCTGAGTAGTGAGGCTGAGCAGCGAGTCTGTTCCCGATGGAACAGACTCCTGACTCATTCTCCCATGAAGAAGAGCATTTCTTTAAACACCCGCGAGCGCTGTAAGGCACCTTCTTTAATATTTCCTTTGTTTCCTTTGAATATTAGTAGAGAGCAGTAGTTAACATCAAGAAATCATGTCTGAGTTCAAGGCCTAGCTCAAAGGCAGACTAGCTGAGCCCACATGGCCAAGTTATCTGCCTTTTCTGAGCTTTCCACTTTCTCACTGGGAGCTGTGGCAAAAACAGTTCCTCTCACCTGAAACTCTTACAAGGAATAACTGACAAAATTAGAACAGAAAGCCCTGACCATTACACTTCACGATACAGTAAGTACTTGAAAACAGGAGCTACAATGGAGCATCCAAATCTTATTTTAAAATATCCATAACCACCAAAATACTATCTATAATGATTTTTAAAAACCCAAAATAAAAAAGTCTGTCTGCATATATGTAGACGGATACACACATTCGGAAGATGTGAATTTCAAAATCCTCGAACAAATGTGACTTCAGACTTGTTATTCTGCAGCCAAATTTGGTCTCCTTATAGTCTTTGAATCATATATTAGCAGCTCCTCTTGAAAACACAACGTGCCCACTTTGCATTCTGTGTTTCCACCCCTTCTGGTTCTAAGTTCTGGTGGAGAAAACCAAGCTAAATGGAATTATGAAGTTTCCGGACATGTCTTTATAACACGGTACTCATAACATGGTAATGAAGCATACTTCCCTCTTTTGAGGGTACCTACCTCTTTAACTGGGACTGGAGATAGGATGTTAAGCGAGTAGCCTCTTCCAGCTGCATAAGCAGGCAATTTCGTTTTTCCTGAAGTAGAATCCTGTAGGAAAGAAAATAGCCTATTGGCGGATTTCGAAGACATCAAATATATTTTCCTAATAAGAAATTCAACTATAAATTCCACCCCCCAAGCGATTTCAGTTTGAATGGCTAAATACTAAAAAGCACACCGAAGTCATAAATGCCAAAATAACAGAGGCTGTTTTTGTCTTGCTAGAAAATGCACCACCAGCACCCTGGACAATGCCTGATATGCTGCAGGAGCTCAACAGGTGGGCGGACAGGTAGATGGACAGAAGGTAAGGCACACACTCTCTCCACCTTCTCTCTGCTTGGCAAGGAAGCTAGCTGGCCAGGCAGTAGCTGCCCTGACAGACACCCTCTCAAGCCATACACAAGTTTGTCAACGTAGCTTTTCGGGTTAGCTCTTCACTAGAAGCTGGGTCCTACTCCTGGAAGTCTGGAGGACAAGCCCACCTTTCCGTGGCGCCCTGCACAGAGGTGGCGCGAGCACGCTGGACCTCCTCCTCCAGGCGCCTCCTCTCCTCCTCAAGCCGGGCCACATCTTCCGCCGGGCGCCTCTGCTGGACGATGAGCTGCAGCTCCTGAAGCAGGGCCTCCTTCTCCTTGATGAGCTGCAGCCGGTCCCTGTCGGCTTCGGCCATGCCTGGCCAGGACTCGTTATCAAGCTGGGCCAGTTGCTGCTGGATATTTGAGACTCTGCAAGAAAGAGAAAAAGGCAGGAACTTACAAACTGTCTTCACTTGTTCTCAGCACCAGCACACTGATTCTAGAAACTCACTCTACTAAGTAAATACTGAAATTACTGCACCGAGTGACCGTGAACTCATAGAAATAAAGAATTTGAAAATACGTGTATAAAAATGAGTGTAAGTACCCTGTATATGAGACTCAGGGTGACCACATCATGCTTGTTTCAAAGAACTGACAAAAAGGCTGGCAGTCCTCCACACACCCATGTGCTGTGTGGTTTCAGATTCGTGGTTTCCTGCGTAGTCCTGTCCCAGAGCAGGAGGGAGCTGGCTCTTTTCCCCCCCATCTCCCATCACCGCCAGCTAAACACCACTGCACACATGAGAGGGGCTTCCTGCTTCCTGCCCACTCGGTCGTGCCTAACTGCCAACACCCACCGTGAGAAAGTCCAGGAGAGACATGCACCCATCACCGTGCTCCTAAATGAGAAACCCCGAAGCCCGGTGCTCTGTGGGCTCTCTCCTGCCCAGGAGACCTTGACTGTGTATGAAATTCCCAATGCCGTGCAGAGAGCAGAGAGTCGACTAGGGCTGAATGCATGGAGCAGTGAACATACACACCGGCAAATGTATGGAAGGGTGAGAGGCAGCCCTGGTGAGTGTGCGCGAGGGCATGGTGTGAGCTACTCTGGGTGCAACCCAGTGAGCCGCACTAACGCTGTTGGCACTGCGTCCTCAAGGTGCAAACTACAGACTCTCTCCTCACTTTCCGTGGGCCTACATGTCCATGTGTTTGCCCAGCAAACAGACTGTACTGTTTTTCGTGTCCTGGGGTGTTGGCAAGTGCAGATCAAGTGAAATAGATGTGGCTCATATTTTCAGAGCATCCTTTCGAAGCAGGGGTAGAATGTTTTTAAGTTTAAGTGTGGCTAGACATGAGCATGATCTAGTTCCAGACAGAAACAAGGAATGTCAGACTCAACCCGAACCCAGCGCTGTGGAGGACGGCGGTTGGCATGCATGTCCAAAAACCAAATCCAAAGACTTCTCTGAGGTCACAGAGAGCTTCGAGGGAGGCCAATGTCAGGAGCACACAGTCCTGCAGCCTCTAAGGCAGCAGTTCTCATGGTGGAGTTCCTGATCCACAGCTTCTTCGTCACATGGGAGCTTGTTACAAATGTGAACCTCAAGCTCCACCCAGACCTGCTGACAGGGGTACTCTGGGGACCAGGTGGGGCAATCTGGCTTTTGACAAGCCTTCCAAGTGCTTATGTGTGATGCCTGCTTAACTTGGATACCTTCTGCTTTCGGGCAGCCGGACCTGATCTGCAGGATGCTCATTGGCATTGGGGCTCTTAGGAACTTGCATTAGGCACCATGTGACAATCCTCACCAAAATGGGAATGGGCGAAAGTGCTCCTGAGACTCCCAGTTCCTATGCCCAGGGCACATGTCACTAACCAAAGCTGGCATCCTGCCTGCTGGGCCCAGACTTCAGAATCCTCCTCAACACTGTGTTCCCTGCAGGTACCGACAATCAACGAGCACTGGCCCATGTGTTAAAGCCTGTCAGCCAGCCCTGAACCAAGGCGGTCTCCTCCTGAACCAGACATGAGCACGGGGGCCAGTGAGCCTGGCCAAAGGACCAGGCAAGATCCCGTCCTCAAGTACCAAAGCAACCAGAAAGCCCAGAGTCAACTACTTTAAATGTATGCATTTACTCACCTCCGATTCCCCAAGAAGGTAAAGAAAATAGTTGAACGTCAGTAGCTTTATTAGACAAGTTCTTTTCTAAGTTAAAACTAATTTCCTGCAAATGTGTTGGAAAATGGTGCCAAATCATGTCACTGAAAAAACTAATGACAGAGGCAGCTGAATAGAGTTAGGGATCCAACTGCGCTTAGGCGTCCACCTCTGTCTAATTAGCGTAATGAAAATTTATGGCCATCATATAACTGAAGCCTGAGGAAAATACACTCCAAGCAGACCCATAAATAAGTTAGTGCCAAATCAGACACTATACCCAATGAAATCTCTGAAACCTTCTACTATAGATCAGGACAAGTCAAAGGTAGGGAATAAATATAAAAGTGATGAAGAACAATGAGCAAATCCATTGTGTCCTCATAATTTTCCATTTCAATTTAGTGGACCCACAGGAAAATCTGAGTGAGCCCAGCTAAAGTCAGCGCTATTACCTTGTAATATATACTGACTCTCAAACATACACTATAAGCAGGCATATTTTAGAAGCACTCCTTTTGAGATTTCTGAAGTTTACACATAGGATCAAGATTCCATTTGAGTTGGGTCCAGGTTAGCCGCCATGCTACAAGGATTTAAGTTGCTGAGGGTGACGGAAGATGCAAATCTAGATAATCCTACTCTTTCCCAGAAAATCTCAAGGAACATCCACTATAAGAACAAAGAATGAGGGAGGAGAGAAGGAATTGCATGAGGGAGGGGAGGCAAAGGGCAAATTTCAAAAGGTCGGCCCACTGCAGGCACCAAAGAAGTAGTACCGTGGCCCAAGTAAAACACCGTACTGTAACTTTCCACAGCTTGTGAGAAAAATATGCAAGGATATATGGCGAGGGACAACCTCAGGAGCAGAAACAAAATCTGGAAGAAGCTGAGTTCATGCAACCCATCTGGAAAAGCTGTTTGGGCTGTGCTGAACACTAGGCAAGCATTTCTGTGCTTAAGACTAGTGCTTTTCCAAAATAATTCCATTTGCCAATGGTGCACATGGCTCTACGTCCATTTCAGAGCCATATATGACTCTGGGACAATGCTGGCATCCACTGCGAGGTGCAATTTCTTTCCCTGTATCTACGCTCTAGAGGCAGACACCCAGCACCTGCTCTCGGCCAGGTCGAGAGAGGCACATGTGTCTATCCGCACTGGAAGCTAAAAGCTCTAGAAGAGCTTTCTTGTACATTCACCAAGGGATAGGACAGCTTTGCCTTCAAAACAATATCCCTTGTCTAACACACCACTGGCCTGGAGATAAGCCACCCTTGAGGAGCAACTGCCGCATGTTAGGTTTACTGGAGGAAACAAACTCGCTGCCTAAGGCTAAGTCTAACACAGCTCTAACACCCCTTCTTCTCTATCCATGCCAAACAGCTGACCCCAGGTTTGGAACCCCATTCCTGGACTACCATCATTCCAATTGTGGGTAAAACAAGGGGGGGGGGAATGTCCAGAATGGTCCTTTTCTGAAATATCACTTCAGTGAAATTAAATACATGGGAGCAAAGCAAGGTCATGATTCGAGTTTACAAAAAAGAAACTTTTCCCAGTTCATTTTTAAAGAGAACTGAGAGCCACTTAAAATTGGCAAGGGTTCTTTTTTCCCTACAAGTCAACTGTATTTTTATTGATTCTTATTTTCGATAGGTGATACATTTTATGGCCTATATATAATCTCTCACAAATGCCTTCAAAAGCTTTAAAATCTATGACCTCGTGCTCATGGCAGTGAAGAAATGAAAGCAAACCGTCAGTCAAGAATTCAGGTTTCATATTTATTATGTGCTTTCCAAATTCTATTCCCTGAACAGGTCTAATGTGGACAGAACTAAAATAAGAATCATTTTTCCTTTCCTAGTTTTGCCCAAACACCTTTTCTGTTACAATCCAGGCACCATTAAACTGTGAGTGGAAACCTGCATTTATACTGCAGACATAACTCGGACCCTCACAATTCACATGAAAATCTTAAATATGATTTGCATTTTTCCAAGAAAACATGCACTTTCTGTATTACACAGTTTGGAGGCATTTTTACACAGCCAGAGTAATCCCCAATTATTTGACTTACAGCAAATTCTGCAGTCTACTATATAATTTCACATGTTCCTAAAATACTGCTGCTTTCTGGAACAGAAGTGGCAGTCCAGGCAAGCCGCGGGCCCATGTGACAGTGATGAGACGTGACGGATCCCAATGCCACATTCCAGGACGCAGTGTCAGCTTAGAGCCTCGGGCCTTCAGATTTCAATTACAGCTACAGATCTGATACTCTAGGTTTCTCTCCTTAGTTTTCTTTTTGTAAATATCCATTTAAATAAAAATGCGTAACTTCAAGAAAATCTCAGCTGAGATCTAAGATGAATGATGAAATCACTTCAGCTGATTGAACTAACTATCGATAAACCAGCACCCATTCAGCTCAACTCTTTATTCTACACTGGAAATCCGAGAAGTCTGAATCTAGAATACGCGGCATAAGGGTCTACTAATACCCCAACATTCCTCCCTGCCCTCACATCTTTTCCCCTTTGAATGTACAGATCTTCAGAGAGCAACTTCCCTAAATGAAAAGCAGACCGTCTGCAGGCTTCTTTCTCTTGGCCTGAATGGGGAGAGGGAGCCACGACGTCAAGGACCCTTTCCTTTGTTTCTCGTAGCCCAGCCCCACCCCCAAAACCCAGATACACAGTCACTTGAGAAATGAAGAAAAAATCCAAGCGACTGATCAAATTCCACTGGAATCCTAACACTACCCTGATTCCTGACAACGGATGAACAGCAGGACCCATCCTGGCAACAAACACTAAGACACAGAGAAACTGGATGGGCCGAATGTTTTGTTCCTATCTGGACGGCAAGCGTTTCTATGGAAACAGCTACAGTTTGTGCACAGTTCTGGAACAAGTGCTCTTAGGTTAAAAATAAGGAGCTATCTGCGTCACCGGGATTGCTTCAAGAAGACTTGCTCTTCCAAATTGGCCTTGAAAAATTCTGCAATTTTTAACCGATAAATCCTAACCAATATTCCCATCCTAGAGTCTCCTTGAGAATCCAAACTGATGTTCCTGAAGGGAAAGGAGGCAGCAGTTGTCTGAGTGCATCTCACATGACTCAGAGTTAAGAACACAAAGCTAGTCATGAGAGTGCTGGTTTGGTCTGGAGAATTCTCTGGAAATCACACCACCATTTGGAATTATGAGTGGCATTTCCACAAACACCCTTTAAATTCAAATATACATGAAACCTCTCACTGTCCACAACACTGCATTTTGATGATTTCCCAACTGTGGAAAAACACTCACATCTAGACGTACAAGGAAAGACTTCTCTGATGTGCTTAAATACAGAAACTTCTCCTGGTTTAGAAATACCAAAGCCATCCTGACCAGGTTGCTCAGTTGGTTGGAGCGTTATCCCATAAACCAAGAGGTCGAAGGTTCAATCCCCAGTCAGGGCACAAGCCTGGGTTTCGGGTTCAGTCCAGGGCATGTGTAGGAGGCAACTGATCTGTCTCTCACATGGGTGTTTCTCTCCCCCTGCCTTTGTCCTCCCCTTCCCCCCTCTCTCTGAAATCAATAAGCAAGTCCTTGAGTGAGAATTAAAAGAGAGGGAGGGAGAAAGGGCAAAGCCCTGGAGGTTTTGCAGAGGGGTGGTACAATTTCTGATGACACTGAACTCATTTCCATAATCCAGGATCATTTTGCCATCTCAAGATCCTGAATTTATCAATCCCACCTGCAGAGTTCCTTCTCCACCTGCTCCTGTAGGCCCATGTTATCTACAAACAGTAGAAATTTAGGAGCAAGACAAGAGCAAGATTTCTCAACTGCAGTGCTACTGATGCTCTGAGCCACCTAAGTCCCTGCTATGGCATTGTCTTGTGCAGACTGGGTGTTTGGTAGAATCCCCTGGCTCCACCCACTCAATGACAGCAGTCACGAGAACCAAAAATGTCCCCTAGGGGCCAAAAATTGCCCCGTCAATGGTTGAGATTCACTATGAACAGAAGAATGATGGGATCTCACATGCTTTGAAAGGATCATTTATCTGGAAAAAAATTCAGACATGGCAATTTAAACAGCCCAAAGTCACAGAAAATTACCCTGAGCTGCACCACCAGTACAAAACTGCACCATTGTGACCAGGGAAAGCATGTGACAACGGAGAGAATGCCTCCGCCCATTATATTAGTAAAATTTACAAAGAACAGTGATATTTAATGATGCTAAGGAGACAGAAACCAGTACTCCCAATCGTCATAGGTGGCGGTATGAAGTGGTTAAGTCATTTTGGAAAGCAATTTGGTGACATCTATGAAAACTTTCTATGCACGTGTCTCTAGACCCAGACAGTTCATTAGTAAGTATCTGAGGAAACAGTCATCTCTGCAAGACTGGGTCCACTAACAGATGCGCCGTTTGTGGAAAGGAAAAACTGGAACCATGGAAATGTCCATCCATTGGCCAGTGGTTATCACGTGACAGAGGCTATGCATCACATTCAACTACACTGGTCTGAACTGAGTTAAATGTTCACGTAAAAGACTGGACGGTTTCACACTGGACCGTTAACGATGGCAGGTGGGATCAGACAGGGGAAGACAGATGACCTCTATAACAGTGCCTTTGACAAAAACAAGGTATGCATGTATTATTCACATAATAAAACTAAAATACATGTGGAGATATACACATGTATGCAAACATGCATGTGCTGTGTGTGTACAAGCACACATATATACCCTGGCATATGTACACATATCCAACCAGGAGTAGCCCCACTCCCAGGCAGAACCCCTGGGCTCCTCACATCTTTTTGTTAATTGTGAAGGACTTTATCTCCCAAACAGATTAAAGACCACATGTGTGGTCTCTAACAGATTACACCGCATAGACCACTTGATTTCTTCAGAACACCTGCAACAGGGCAGGTATTGAGGAGAAACGCAGTCTCCCAGTCCCCCTGCAGATTCTCTGCGTGGATGAAGCTAGTGGGGCTGCCCACACAGATCAGCCATCGGGAAATCATGCAGTGATGGCCCCACTAAGATGCCACAATCCTCCAGCACAGACCAGGGGTCCTCGGCCTTGGCACTGGTGACACTGGGGGTAGGTCATTCTTTGTGTGGGGCATCCTGGACACTATAGGATGGCGAGCTGCATCACTGATCCTCACCAGATGCCCAATGCACCTCCCCCAGAGCTGTCACAACCCAAACGTCTCTAGCTGTGGCCGGAAGTGCCCTGGAGAGCTCCCCTTGCCCCTGCTGGGAACCACCGCCAAGTGGGGAAAGGGCAGGCTGGGCCGCCCCAGGATGTCTATTCGGTGCATCCCAGAAAGGCATTTCCGAGAAGCTCCTACTGTCCCACAAAGGCTGAAACACTGGGCACAGGACCCTCTTCTGTAGCTGCAGTGTTTTTCATACCGAGGTCCCAGCAATCTTGAAATACCTCTTTCATTTAACAGATACGAGGAAGTGCACTGTCCTCCCCTGAATAAGTTTCTCAAATACTCAACTGTTTGCCCAAATGTATTATCTCAACATACCATCTCTGGAAAACAAAGAAATCACTTGCTATGTTTGGTAAATGTCACAGCGAAACACGTAACAATTATGTTCCCAAGTGTAGCAACCACCTAGTTTCTGCGTTTTATACAACACAGCAAATTCCAGCGCCCACATTGTGCAGTTCCAGAAGAAACATGTGAGAATGAGCAGAGGAACACTCCGAAGGGACAACCGCCTGACAAACCCCAGGCGGCTCAGGGGAAGGAATGAGCCTAGATGGGGAATCTGAGCTCGGAGATAAGCAGCGCGGCCGCAGGGGCTTGGCCACAGTCCATGGGCAAATGGAAAGCCCACCACGGATACCTCGGGAAAAGACGGGAAGGATGGGGTACAGGCCCGGGCAAACAAAGGCCCATGTCAGTCCCAGCCTGCCCTCCAGCGGGGAGTCAGATGATCGGCTTTTGTTGCTATTTTTACATTTTCTAAAAAGGCAACAAAGTGGATTTCCAGACATCCATGAATGATACAGTATACTGAGCAGACCCAACTACTAAGCTTCCAGAAAGGACCCCCCTCGCCCCACTTGGCATTCCACTCCTCTTCCCCCACCCCCTAAGACAAAAGAAACTTTAAAAAGATATGCTTTATAGGTTTCCAAAGTACATATTTTCAAATCATTTGGTTTTAAGACTCTTTCCAGAATGCGAAAAACAAAACAAAACAAAACAAAACCAGAGTGTCTCTAAAAGGAGGACATGAACGCTAGGCCAGGGTCAGACTGTTGGAACCAGGGCCCCTACACACATGGGGTGAAGCGGAACATGCCGAGAGTCCCGCGGGCCTGTGAGGGCTACACACCACCTCTCAATTTGGCCCGTGCCCTATAGTTAGGACTGGGAGGGAGGGAGGGAGGGAGGGAGAGGGGAGGGAGGGAGGGAGGGAGGGAGGGAGGGAGGGAGGGAGGGAGGGAAGGAGGGAGGGAGGGAAAGACAAACTTGAAAATGCACAAACAAGGACAAGTCTCAATTTTCAAAAGGCAGATGATTTACAACACAGGTTAACGGAAATAATGGCCTTTCAATTCTCACTATCAAAATGAAACAGATTCAGTCACAGGCAGCAAACACAAGGCCCATGGGCCGAAATCTTGTTTTATCCAGCCCGGCACCTTGTTTCTACCTCGTGACAGCACCGAGCTCCTCGCCCCTAGTTAAGGAGAAGTTACATTTATTTATGCAGTCCTAAAATTGCATTCGACCCTTTGAAGGCAACTGTGAGGCTGATGTGGCCCCCCGTGAAAATGAGTTGGATACCCCTGGATTAGGTATTGCCAGCACCTGCTGACCTAATCCTTATTAAACTGTCTCTCAAACCAAGATACGTGACTTTTGCCATTAACCTATGGAGTTAGAAGGCACATATTGAAGAGAGAAAACCATTTTGCTTCAGGCAGTCTGAAGGATTGATGCTCAGATAAAAGGGAAGGAGGGAGGGGGTCGGAAGGGATGGGAGGAGACAGGATGGTAGGAAGCCGAGGAGGTGGGGAGTTCCGAACTACCTGACAGGATAAGGAAAGCCAAAAAAGACTCTATTTTTATTACATCATATCTTTATAACTATTTGCCACTTTGAGAGCTTGCCCATTTTAAAAGAATATGAAATTTTGTCTACAAGGAGGGACCCCCCCAAAAAAAACAGAATTTATTTACAAAAATTGTATATTCATTCTTACATGTTGAAACTTCAGTCACCATCAAAGTACAGTCCTCTCCATCTGATGCAATACACCTATGGAGACGTTTTTTCCACTGCTCACAACAGTTTTTGAACTCATTAATTTTGATGCCTTCCAGTGCTTCTGCCCTTTTTTGTTTTCCCCTCCTCCACATTGGCAAAACATTTCCCTTTGAGAACCGGTTTTCATCCAGGGAAACAAAAAAAGTCGCTCGGAGCAAGATCAGGTGAATAGGAAGGGTGGGGAAGGGGGTCGTGCCATTTTTGGTCAAAAACTGCTGAACACGCAGCACTGTGTGTCCAGGTGTGCTCGTAAATCACCCATCATGAAATGGGCAAATGCATTCAGTCTTCAAAAAAAAATTCGCTGAAGCCAAATGTAGCCTCTCACAACACCACCAACTGGTGCACTGATCCAGATGGGTTTCTAGAACACTTGGCCTAGCAGGGGAAGCCTATACTACAAGGGGCTCACCCTCCAAAAGATAATTCTGGTTTTTTGGCGTCCCCCCTCGTATGTATTAAGAAGTTACTTTATTTTTTATTCTATCAGACACTACTTTCCAATAAAAAGTGAACAGTGACACAATGGAATGCCAGAAAGTCTTTGCACAGGAGAAAGCGGGTAAGCAGAAAGCAAGATTTGAAAAAGGAGCTTCTTACCTCTTTTTGGCTTCCTCATACTGCCAATTAAGCCTGACTCGGTCTACCAGTCTTGTTTTATCATCGAAGACAAACTTTCCAAAACAGAGTGGGGCAGGCGGGGGAAGGAAAGCATATTAAAAACATATTTTCAAAAGAGAAAATTCATTTAAACTTTTAGCAACAATGAAGAATATCTGAATTCATCTTTCCATTTCCACTTCTCAAAGGTCTGGAAGGAAACACACCAAATAGTATTCAGTGGCCACCTCTGATCAGTGGGGCTGGTCGACTTTTGCTTTCCCAACGCTGGTAGCTTTTTCTTAGACAGTGAAAGTATACTTATTTATTGTGTAATTTCAAACAATAAATTAAGTTTTCAGAGAAATGGGGAACTACCTGATAAAAGTTGGTACAAAGGCAAAACAATTCATCCCACGTTGTGCAGCACATTCTCCTCCACTGACCGTGCCAATTCGCTGCTGGCTGGGCACAATGGCACAACCAAACACTCTCAAAACCAGGAGAGAACCTTCACACGAACCTGTTTCTCTCAAACCAGTGAAGAGTCTCTAAATTCTAATTCTAACCTCACAATAAGCAGCAATGACTGAGTCACGCGATTCACTGAGTCTTGTACTTCTTTCCTGCCTTCCTTCCTGCCAACATCTCTGGGCAAAAATGCCAGATGTTTCTGACTTACAGATTCTCCTCATGGTCACCATATTCTTTAAACCAAAGAAGCCTGGTCACAAATGCCCAATCCTACTTCAAAAAACAATGAGGGCAAAACTGAAAACGGGGCTAGTCCAGAACATCCAAGACACAAGAAGACATTATTTAAAATATTAGATTCCCCTCAAAGAGGCACTACCTACCAAAATTTGAAAATATTAGCTAATTATTTAAAACCCAGAGGTTTTTGTCTATGGTCCTTCCCTTCCTTTTTTTTCCTCTTTATTTAATTTAAGGGAGGGCATTCCATTCCATTGGTATTGCATCTTGACTTAAGCAGCCCAAAGGAAAAGAAGCCATCCAAGCTGTTTTTCCATTTATAACAAATAAATGATAAATGTCACTCAATGGCATTACAGTAGTAGTGTTTTCAAGCATTTGCCGCCCTGCTTCAAGTGACAATTGCCAACTTTATTTTTGTGGCTAACTCAAGGTTTCACTAATCACCAAAAAGGGGCATTATGAAATTCTTTCAAGTCCCAAACAAAATTAATTTTAATTCAATTTAATTTCCTGCCACTGTTTTAGAAGAGTAAGAAATGGCACCAAAGTACAACCCAAGCCTTTGTGGCTTTGAGCCTTCCAGCCACAAAGCCTTGGAAAATCACTGGTCTAAGCCAGAGATCAGCAAACTAAGGCTGGAAGGCTCCATCTGGCCTACCACCTCTTTTTATAAATAAAGTTTTATTGGAACACAGCCCCACCCATTATTCACATATTGCCTATGGCTGCTTTTGTACTACAACACAGTTGTGTAGGTGTGGCAGAGACTGCACGGTCTACAAGGCCTAAAGTATTTAATATCTGGACCTTTACAGAAAATGTTAGCTGATTTCATACTCTAGAAGGTCCTATGTGTGTCAGAAAAAACATCTAAACTCAACTCTCAAAAGGATTCTGCCATTTTCAAAAATCCGAATCAAAGTTGGAGGGAATAAGCAATTAAATCGTATCCCAGGCCACTGAACCTTCACAGCTGGATATGAGAAACCATTTTTTTTTCTTCAAACTTAGTGTCACAAAAGCCAAAACATTTCTGAAGAGGTGGTGAAAAATTCAAGCAAATGAGTGATGGCAACCCAAAAGCAGCCCTTCTCTCCCGACCCACCCGGTTCTTCCCCTGGTGAGCATACCTCTCCGATGATGTCGGTCTGAGACCCAGCATCGCAGAACTGGTGAGACTCGCCAGGAGCGCCCTGATGGTGAGAGAGCTCTTGTGGGTCAGTCAGAGAAAAGTTATTCCTGAACCCGTCAGTGAGCTTGGCCAGGCTCTGCAACAGAATGAACAAGCCAGTTGAACAGAGATGGTAATGTGCCTCTCTTTCTAAAAGCAGTTGATTCACTCCGCTTGCAGGTCAGCCGCTTCTTCACCGGAGGGCTGGCCACCCCAATCCCATTCTGTTAGATTTAAAAGAAATGTCCAGCACTGCATGTAGCTGTAACAAAATGCTCAGTGATTTAAATCAGACAGCACTTGAGCCCTCCTGGCACCATGTGAATAATATCGAGAACTGTGGTACCATTCTTATGGTTTCTCAAAATTTTGTGTCTCCTTAAAAAAAAAAAAAAAAAACATTCCCTCCAAAAAAACTCAAACTCCTCGAACCAGAGAGTAGAAGGGTGGTTGCCATTTCCAGGGCCTGGGAGGAGGAGGAAACAGGGAGATGTCGGTCAAAGGGGACAGACTTCCAGTTTGATGACTAAGTCCTGGGGAAGAAAGGTACAGCATGGTGATGATAGTTAACAATAGTACTGCGTATTTGAAACTTGCATAGAGAGCAGATCTTAAAAGTCCTCATCGCATGCACGCACACACACCCCAAAGGTAACTATGTGAGGTGATGGAGGTGTTAATGAATTTTACTGTGGTAATCATTTCACAATATATATATGTATATCAAATCATCACATTGTACATCTTAAATTTATACCATTTTCTTTCTGAACTGTACCTCAATGAAGTAAGGGGAGGGGCTTTCACACCCCAAATGTTCTATCAATAAATGAGTCTGAGACGAACGCTACCTTGATATCTTTATAAACCACACAGAAGGTGAAAACAGCTTCCGTTTACACATTTTTATAACCTAACTTTTCAAGCCTAATTCTACATGGTCAAAAGTCATGTCATATATGTATGTTAGTTTGCCAAAAATCAGAGGAAGCATGGATTCTGGCACCGAGAAGCCCTTTGGGTGAAGGTTAAAGAGAAATCAATTTCCTACAATTTTTTAGAAAGACTATTTCTGCAGACACCAGGGCGCCCAGGTACAGTCCAGCACATGCAGCTGGCTTTGGATGTGGACAACATCATCCTGGACTGGGCCAATATCGCTAAGGCTCTATAAGACAAACAAAACAGCTTAGTAGATTTTACTAGAAGATATTGCCCTGGAGTTTCTCTGAAAAGATGCTGAGATCTGAAGCTTCTTCAAGAAATTCTACCTTCAGCGGCCATAGTGCAGAACCCAATTCAGGCAACTGGGTGGCTCTGCCCCATCTCTGCACATTCAGAAAGGCCAGGCCACAGGCACCAGCTCCACCACCTAGGGTGAGCCCTCTGTGTCCCTGCGGTGGAACACCACCTGGCGTAGGCCTGGGGGTTCAGGCTTGGACTAGGTGGACAGCAGCCACAGAGCACCTGTGCAATGTGCACAAGATGCCTCAGTGAATGACAGCTGTTGTCCTTCCTTACCAGTGCTAGGAGAAAAGCTGACAATTGACCATTTACCTCTCATGACTGGGAGAGGGTGCCTGAAAATACAGATTTCTGGGCCCCTCAACCAGAGTCAGTCCAGTAGGTCTGGAGTAGGGCTCGGTAACCGGCAATTTAAAGAGCACCCTGGAGACACTCTGCAAGTCTCACCTGTTCTTGATCTTAGGAAGAAATGCCCTGCAAAGCAGTTACGTGTATACCTGTCTCATTTGGCCAATGAGCAAAAAATAAAAGTCATAACAGAAACAACTGCACGCATGCCAGAGTGGAATAAAAAGACCAGCATGCATCCATTTGTAAAAAGTCAACTTTTTCTCAAAATAAGAGAAATGACAAAAACCGAAGGTGCAAAAAACTAAAACAACCTAAAGCTACAGTGATCCAAGTCATACAATTACATCCATGCACATGGTAGAACATTATGCAGCCATATTGAAGGTGAAGGAGCTCTTTGCACACAGATATGGGAGAAGGTGGGTCCGATCGTTGTGTGAGGGAGCCGGTGCAGACCAGCAGACACAGCCCTTGCTGTCTGTGAGGGCAGCTGAGCGTGCACAGAAACATGAGTGGTGCGAGAAGGGGGACATAGCAAGACTCCCTCTCACTGACTTTTTTAATTACTTTGATTATTGAACACCATGAATGTATCATCCATGGTTGTGGCTTGAACTGTGTCCTCCAAAAATGTGTTCAAGTCCTAAGCCTGGGAACCTATGAATTTGAGCTTATTGGAAACAGAGTGTTTGCACATGGAATCAAGTTAAGATGGGTTACACTGCATGAGACTGGGGTCTAATCCAGTGACTGGTGTTCTCATAAGAAGAGAACATTTCGACACGGAGACGCAGGGAGAACACCATGTGACAATGAAGGCAGAGACTGGAATGCTGCATCTGCAAGCCTAGGACTGCCAGCAGCAACCAGAAGCTGGAAGAGGAGGAAAGGAGCTTCCCCTATGGTCTTCAGACACAGCGCCACTCTGCTGATGCCTTGATTTCAAATGTCCAGCCTGTAGATTTTGAGAAAATCCATCTCTTTGGTTCTAAGCTACCTGGTTTGGGGTACTGTGTCCTGGCAGCCCTAGGAAAGTCATATGTGTTATTTTAAATATATATGTATACATATACATAAAAGATATATGCACACATAATATATATACACATATCTTAGAATACATATGAATTGTGCATGTAATAAATATAAAATGTGTTTTAAATCCTAAATGAAGGAAAGAGAGACAAGTGGCAGACAGATGGACGGGGCTCTGAAGAGCCCTGGCCTCTCACCTGCATCAGGTCCCGCCTCTCCTTCTCGCCTGTACAGATGGCTTTTTTGATGGTCCGGAGCTCATTCATTATAGCCTGGGCCTCATCCAGTTTGTAGCTGGTGTGAGCATTTGACATCTTACGGTCAATCCTGGTTAAAAAAGTAAAATATTGTCATTCTATGTGAGATGATCGCATTCCATTACACATGACAAAAACCTCAAAAGCTTCATAGGAAGGTGGAAAACAGTGCAAACAAGGTTTTGGCAAAGGAGGCTAGAGATCGCATAGAACCCCCTTGTTGTGGTGAGCACAGAGACGGGACTTGTGCCATCAGGTGAGCACGATGTACAGTCAGGTTCCATTAGTGATAAGGCAACGAGGTCACCAGCTTGAATAACTGCCTGGGATTTTAAGCAGGATCAGGTCTTATTCACTTATCCCCAGCATCTGGTCTGAACCATCCACTAAATAAACATACAGCTGAGTTTTGTGTGCAAGGGGGATATATGGGAAAGAGCAACAAGCAGGGACCTTTCATTAAGGATGCCTTGTATGAAAGTGGAAAACTCTCATGTTTCCTTTATGTATCTCTTTCTTTTATCTCATGCTGGTTCTAATTTATCCTTCTCTCTCTACTACATACTTCCTCGATTCTTTCCTTCAATTCAAACATCCATTCCTTTCTTCCTTCCTTCCCACCTGCCCCTGTGTGCACAAGGCCTGCTTCTGGGTAGCAGAAGCACAGGACTGACCAAAATGAGGCTTGGCTTTGACCTTCCAAGAGCACAGAACCTCCTGCACTATGTCCTTTGTCATCTTCCATACCTAAGTCTTGAGTCTTACAAGACCTCAGGGCTGAAGAAGTTGAAATCCTTTGCTCCAGAAATGGCATGCATTCCTCTAGAATGTGACTAGCGTACATGGCGCGTTCCACCTCGACCATTACACTGCTTATGGTTCTAAGTTATTGCCCCGATGTTAACTGAAAATCTAGATCGTAACGGCCAGTCCAAATGCCCTTATTTTCCACTCACGCAAAAGCATCCTGGCATGCTGGTGAGTACAGGTGACACTCCAGGTCTACAGTGGGACCCTGCGCAAGTCAATTCACCTCTTTAAACCTCAGTTTCCTCATCTCACATGCAGATACTAACAATGTTTCTCCCATTTACTAAGAAGGTATAAGGAAAGGGCTGATCTGGCAGAGGCCTGGTGTGTGATGTTTGTGGTGATTATTACTATTATCAGGACAATTCTGGACCTACTTACTCATGGGAGTAAAAGTAAATAATTCACCAACTCTGGTACTTTATTATCATTAACAAATTCCTGGCCACATGCGTCACGACTCACAGCAAAACTCAGCACCGGAGCTGATCTGAGCTGTCAGCGCCCTTGGAATGAGAGAAGGACAAATAGAACAAGCAGGAAACCATCCCCTCCCTTTGGAAATGGGCTCGGGGGCTCAGCGGCAGTGCTGTGACTGCCATCAGGTTCAAATCAAATATTTATGAAAACTGTTCCCAAGTCCTCTTCCACAGACAGCGGATGCAGGCGCACCATGGGACCCCACACATTAAATGGGGACATCCCTAAATCCCAACATGGCCTGGCCATGTGTTTTTCCACTTCGGCTTTTGTATGGAGAATCAAGAGTCTCTAACGCAAGACAGAAATAAAAGGCCATCCATCTCACATCTGCCAAGGAAGTGGCCTGACTTTTCTTGCAGGAAAAAAAATCTACTCATTTACATAATAATAATGTCTTCTTGTATTCATCTTCTGATCAAAGGCTTCCCAATACATCTCATTTATGGCATTAAACCACAACCCACATAGGCTGATGAACTCTGTAGAGAAAGATGATGGCATTTCCAGACTGAAAAAACAACAAAAACCTAAGGCCAGAAAATTCTGATTTGTCTGTAACAGTCAGTGACCACAGCCCTTGCTAACCAGGTCTACTGGCTGCTCCCGAATGAAAAATACGGCCGAGGGTTCACCTCCTGACACTGACACCCATATGGAGAAATGAAACTTGACTGCCTTAAACGAAGTTGTTGCCATTGCCCGAAAATCTATGCTAGTCCAATAGCCACAGACACACAGCCACCGCTCAGACTGCACCGAGGGATGCCAGCTCCGTGAGCCCCAGCTTTGTACTTAAGTGCTGTGATTTCCTTTTCACTTCTAGCGACTATAAAGCCTAAGGGTGGCCACCAGGAAACCCAGGGACAAAGCCAGCAGTCTCTTAAGGCCCCAGCTTCCAAGCTGGGAACGGCTGCCACGCAGAGGAAAATGGGCTGCAATTCCCCTCAGGCAGAGGGCTCAGCACCCTGTAATCCATCCTATCAGCAGACACTGCACAGTGCCTAGGAGAAGGTCAACTTTACCACCACAGACATGGGCTCCAGCCTTAGCTCTACTGGAGCACTCTGAGACCTTGAAGAAGAATGAAGACTGGCCTGGAGCAGCTGTTTTCACTCAGTTCCAAGGGTATGCCCACGTGGTGAGCAGGAGTAGCTAAAGGGGAAGCATGCTAGGGCTTGGGGACCATCAGCCCTACTTCAGCAACTACCTCCCCTGCTCAGTAGTCTCAAGCTATTCTGCTTCCACAGAAGATGATGTTTGTGGGGAAGGGAAAGAGATGCCACTGCTTAAACAGTGTGAAAGCTATTGGAGAACACGATCTCAATGTTCTAGGAATCTCTGCCATATTGTCATTTAAAAATGGTTATATATTACTATAGAACACATCAATATATAACAAAAATGTCATTATATAAGTATCTCATATAAACATCTTATATAGGATATATTATTTGATTACATTATATAACTATATAAATAGCATATTAAAGTAGTTTAATGTCTCGAGGACCTACTAGGTGACAAAGTGTTGCTGTGTGCTTTACGTTTGTCACCTCCTTTAATCCCCTCAATGGCTTTACAAGATAAGCATAATCTTCTGAGTTTTTTTTTATGAAAAAAATTGAGTCTCAGAGAGATTAAGCGGCCCAAGGTGACAAGGTAAAGTCTGGCCGAGCTGGGACTCAAAGCCCCACCTCCTAATTCTCAAGTCTGCTGGGGGGGCGTGGTTCTGATACCACGGGTGTACCCTTACTCGGAGCGGCCAATGTATAATCCACAGGCTCATATACAGGCAACGTTTCACGGAATTCAAGCCAGTTCCACTTTTCAGACATGTTGCAGTTTCATCTAACAAAAACTTGAAAGGCCAGATAACCTCTTCCTTCACACCTGCAAAATCATTTGGGGGTTTTCTTACATTTTGTCCAATTCTCTCTAGAACTTGGGTCAAAGTCAGAGGATGTGCTCAACGATTTGGTATTTTCTAAAATATCAATATATTACATTTTCTAAAGAATAATAATTTTTAAAATGTTTAACGAAGAGTTCAAGACAGTGCTTATGCTTGTCAAATAAAATGATTGGAAACTGGTAACTGCCCAACAAAAGGTGGTACTGGAGTGACCTCCGCTGTTATGCAGTGTGCTATGATCTGAGTGTTTATCCTGCCTCCCGCCAAAATCCCCATGCTGGAACCCTAATGTCCACCGTGACACTGTTAGAAGGTGGGGCCTCTGGGAGGTGATCAGGTCATGAGGGAGACATTCTCGTGAGTAGGGTCAGTGTCTCTACAAGAGGGACCCTGAGAGCTTCCTGCCCCTCCCACCACATGAGGACGCAGTGGAAAGGCGGCCATTTTTGAACTTGAAAGCAGGCTCTGAGGAGACCTGGCCATGTGGGCACCCTGATCTTGGACTGCCGGCCTCCAGAACTATGGAAAATATAATTACGTTGTTTATAAGCCACCCAGTCTGTGGTATTTTGTTAGAAGAGTAAGCCAAATGGACTAAGATGCACTATTAAAAAAAAAGTCTAGTTCTCGGAATGCTCTGTCTCAACTTTCTACCTCTCAACATTTTTCAGCAGCTTTGGGGAGGTTAAGTGACTTGCTGAAGGTCACTCAGCCAGTAAGGGGCACAGTGAGGTTCCCACTGAGGCCCCTCACACCAGCCCTGATCCGTTTCATCACCAGAGGGTTAATACCCTTCAAGTCAAGGCCTCCAAACTCACACCGTGTCAAATCTGAAGGCCACCCACATAGCCAGTCAACTGTCATCCCAGACTGAACCTTTTTGGTCTTTATGGTCTGCTCTAGAAAGAGATGGTTAGAGAGAAGAGAGGCGCAGCCCCAAACGGTGACCGCAGTACCACTGAGCAGGTAGCTGTGAGATGTTTATCATCGACCTCTTCCTCCTGCTGCCCTCAAGTTTCCATATTTGTTGTTCAATTCAAGATGTCAAGAGAAGTGCACTGGCAAAAGGAAAACCAAACGACTTCTTCAACCCACATCTTGAAGAAAAGGGCTGCCAGGCCTCTAAAGATATTCCATGTTAATACCACACATTACAACCCAAAAGAATGAGAAGTTTTGTTACAACTCTACCTTTTACATCACCAGCTCTGGCAGGGGGCCTTGAATGAACCTCAGAAAGCTTCCGGCAGCTTTCTATCAACAGCAGGTCCTGTGTGGAGCGCCAGACCTGTCCCGCAGCAGGAACAATGCTCTTTTTGTTTCCGCCCCCATTCCTGTGTGTTTCACTGTTATCTGAGTAGTGCCGGGGTTGCGCACGGGCTGTACCTCATGTGCTATGTTAATGGGATATTGTTGGTCTAAGCCTGTTCTAACTGCGAACAATCTTACTCTCTTTTGAAACCACTAAATCCCCTCGGACAGAAAACGCTAATTCCAATATCTAATAGTGCCTCATTCTGGTATCGAGTGCTCAGGAGAGAGTAGGGGCTCTTATTTAAGGAGACGTGGGTTTAACTTCACTCATAACACCCCAATCGGAAAGAAGTTCATCAAGTAATTAAAAGGCTTGAAGTGAAGAGGCCACCAAGCTAAGAATGTACCTCATGGAAACTGCTTATTGGAACATTTAGTTTACAGCCCTTTTCTGTGACTCGAAGAGCAGTAATAAGGAATAGAATTTCTTAAAACATGGTATGTAGCAGGGAAGGAAATGCTAGAGGGCAGTTAATGAGAAGGTGACTGGGCGATTTACAGAGACCTCTCTGACATCTTTGCAGCCCAGGCCCTCACCCCGAGGGTCCCAG